ATCCTGTCAAGTTTGAATATCACAAGTAATTCCAGGAAATAATCACACAACTGTTTGTGTCATTTGGTGATAGTGCCTATTTCACATTTACATACACATTTCCACATTTCACATATTCCTATTTCACAACTGTTTGTGCTTCCTGATCCACAATATTACATTACAGCAGGGGAATTCAACTGGGGGTCTGCGTATGTTTTTTTCTAAGACAAATAATAACTTATTTTTTTTGTTCAATATTTGTATGAATATCGCGAGCAACAACATACTTAACACATTTTGAATAACATACCTAGAGGGGAATATCTTATTTCTAAAGATGTAAACGTCATAACTCCTAATATTGAGCAAATTACACTCTTTGTAGCCAATTACACTGAAGCAGGGGTCTTCAACCTATTTTATATATTGTTTTTTTCTTCTTCACCCTGAGCACCCTTACTTCCTGCGGCTATGCAGACAGGGGCAATTCATATAAATTAATTGGCAGATTTTGTGTAACATTTGGCTTTTTATGGCAATATTGGAAAACCAGAGGTGGGATAATGTCAATGTGGCTTTCATTGTATAGTAGCCGGGAGCTTTATGTTTTAAAATGCATACTTTCAGAATTGATTGGCGAGCTACTCATAGGTGGGCTGCGAGCTACTGGTAGCTAGTGATCTACCTGTTGGAAGCCCCTGCACTGGAGTATCTGACATAGGCTTTGATAAAGCACCCGCGAATAGGCTACCAGTGTGGCAAGTGCCGAAGGCTGCTGGTAGGCTTTCTTGACTTGGGCATACATTTTTGTCAACACATGGCTAACCTTTGTTTAACCAGTCAAACAGCTGTTCTTAGCGAAAATGTGTTTGGAGTTACCTTCTAGCTAATAGGCTACGTTAGAGTTCACACTTACTCTGTAAACTCTAAGTTGATTACTTCTCCTTTCCATATTCATTCACCTGATATCATTTTTTGCTAATGTTTGATGGGGGTCCCTGGGTCGCCGGTTTGCCTGGAAGGGGGTACCTGGGCAAGAAAATGTTGAAGTCCCCTGCATTACATACTTAATCTGCCCCTTGTTTGATATATTTAGTACTATTTGACAGCGCAACCCCTTTGCATTATAGAGTGATGGGGACACCTGCTGGTGACAGAAAACATGTGGACTGCTGATGTATGGAATACAGTTGTATGGAAATAAATTACACTTTTGGAGTAACATTGATAGTCTGCTTTTAAACTACTCCTTGTCCATTAATACATTATTGTTTGTAAGCATTATTAGGCATATTTGTTCATGTTTTAGTAACATCAGTAACATCAGTAATGTAATGGTTAGCCCATAATCATATACACATAATTCATTAAGTATTTCAAACACTGAACCTAAATCTGCCAGATGGCCTATCCACTGAAAGACTGATTGGTTAGAATCTGGTAGATGTACTGCTGTAATAATGGGGTTACAAGTGTGGTGCTGTTGCCTGTTGGCGACTTTGATGACATTATCTGAGGCTCTCAGACAAACCCACAGCTGAATGTTGCCAGACAAAACAAGTTTGCTTAAGTACAGTCGTGGTCAAAAGTTTTGAGAATGACACAAGTATTGGTCTTCACAAAGTTTGCTGCTTCAGTGTTTTTAGATATTTTTGTCAGATGTTACTATGGTATACTGAAGTATAATTACAAGCGTTCCATAAGTGTCAAAGGCTTTTATTGACAATTACATTAAGTTTATGCAAAGAGTCAATACTTGCAGTGTTGACCCTTCTTTTTCAAGACCTCTGCAATCTGCCCTGGCATGCTGTCAATTAACTTCTGGGCCACATCCTGACTGATGGCAGCCCATTCTTGCATAATCAATGCTTGGAGTCTGTCAGAATTTGTGGGGTTTTGTTTGTCCACCCGCCTCTTGAGGATTGACCACAAGTTCTCAATGGGATTAAGGTCTGGGGAGTTTCCTGGCCATGGACCCAAAATGTTGATGTTTTGTTCCCCGAGCCACTTAGTTATCACTTTTGCCTTATGGCAAGGTGCTCCATCATGCTGGAAAAGGCATTTTTCGTCACCAAACTGTTCTTGGATGGTTGAGAGAAGTTGCTCACGGAGGATGTGTTGATACCATTCTTTATTCATGGCTGTGTTCTTAGGCAAAATTGTGAGTGAGCCCACTACCTTGGCTGAGAAGCAACCCCAAACATGAATGGTCTCAGGATGCTTTACTGTTGGCATGACACAGGACTGATGGTAGCGCTCACCTTGTCTTCTCCGGACAAGCTTTTTTCCGGATGCCCCAAACAATCGGAAAGGGGATTCATCAGAGAAAATGCTTTACCCCAGTCCTCAGCAGTCCAATTTCTGTACCTTTTGAAGAATATCAGTCTGTCCCTGATGTTTTTCCTGGAGAGAAGTGGCTTCTTTGCTGCCCTTCTCGACACCAGGCCATCCTCCAAAAGTATTTGCCTCACTGTGCGTGCAGATGCACTCACACCTGCCTGCTGCCATTCCTGAGCAAGCTCTGCACTGGTGGTGCCCTGATCCCACAGCTGAATCAACTTTAGGAGACGGTCCTGGCGCTTGCTGGACTTTCTTTGGTGCCCTGAAGCCTTCTTCACAACAATTGAACCTCTCTCCTTGAAGTTCTTGATGATCCGATAAATGGTTGATTTAGGTGCAATCTTACCAGCAGCAATATCCTTGCCTGTGAAGCCCTTTTTGTGCAAAGCAATGATGACGGCACGTGTTTCCTTGCAGGTAACCATGGTTAACAGAGAAAGAACAATGATTTCAAGCACCACCCTCCTTTTAAAGCTTCCAGTCTGTTATTCTATCTCAATCAGTATGACAGAGTGATCTCCAGCCTTGTCCTCGTCAACACTCTCACCTGTGTTAACGAGAGAATCACTGACATGATGTCAGCTGGTCCTTTTGTGGCAGGGCTGAAATGCAGTGGAAATGTTTTGGGGGGATTAAGTTCATTTTCATGGCAAAGAGGGACTTTGCAATTAATTGCAATTCATCTGATCACTCTTCATAACATTCTGGAGTATATGCAAATTGCCATCATAAAAACTGAGGCAGCAGACTTTGTGAAAATTATTATTTGTGTCATTCTCAAAACTTTTGACCACGACTGTACACTAGAATAAACAGAACAGTTTAATTTTAGTCCCATGACGGGTGCTTCACTGAAATACAGTTATTCACTTTTATTTTTTTGCAGGAAGTCATCTATTATTGTTTAATGCCAACGACATGTCCATGTTTTTATTGTATGTCTCTATATTATAATAATAATTATAATAATTATAATAATAATAATAATATCCATCAAAGACGTCACATTTTTCATTGAGACAGTGAGATTTCAGTGAGATGATGAAAAAAACTGACCTGCACTGTACTATACTGTAGGCTACAGTACACACCTGTCTGGCCAACGCATAAAGGGCCAGTGCAGTGCTAAAAAGACCAGGGGGAACAGAATAAAAAGATTGTACCTACTGCATCGTTTTCAATTCACTTTTCACTCTAGAAACTAAAGATACACCCCATTTCTGTTGAACTGACTTGTTGAAGCCAAAGATGGTGGATAAATGAAGATAATTCACTCGTTTAGCCATTTAGGCGGGCCGGCGAAGAGACGTGGCAGGTCGATGGTGGACGCACGGTTCTTTTGAAAGGGCTCCAAAGTTTATCAACAAATATTCTACCAGGAGATTATTTAACTTTGCTATCAGGGGGTTCCCAGGTAGCGAGGGGAATGGCGTCCCTTGAGAGGCCAAGAACGAGATGTATGTTCTGGGAAGTACAATGTTATCGTAAGGAGACGTATACTTGGAATGGAGTGAAAAAGAGAGGCAGAGGAGGTCGAAGAGAGAGAGGGACGAAGAGGGTGAACTTAAAAATGGTCGGAAAAAGGGAGATGGTTTGTTAAAGAAGAATGGTAGAAAGTGTAAGCAGAGTGAGCTGTACACTGGATTGAAGACAGGAGGAGAAATGGAAGTGAGTGAGGGTGAATTATCGGAGGTGGTAGGTGTGGTGAAGTTCTCGGATATACAAGTTATCCCTTACGAGCTTTTGTGCCAAATACATTACGTTGTTACGGGTGTCAAACTTATGGGCATGTGGCAGCAGTGTGTAGGAGGGAGGTTCCTAGGAGTGAGAAGTGTGCAGAAGGGCATGAGACAAAGGAATGTGTCGCATTGGGGAAAGAAGCGGTATGTGTTAATTGTAGGGGTGCCCATGGGGCTGGGGATCAGAAATGTCCAGTGCAAGAGAGGCAGGTTGAGGTTTCCAGGGTTAGAGTAGAGCAGAAGTTGTCGTTTGCTGAGGCAGTGAAGAAATTAGAGGAAGATAGGTCAAGGTGGAGGGATCCTGAGAGGAGTGGTGTGAGTAGTAGATCTGTACCAGTACAGAGGGATAGGGTAACAAGTGATATATGCTTCAGTAAGATTGGATTTTTTGGATTTATAGCAATGGTTATCAACTGTACTGCAGGGATGAAATGTAAGTCACAGAAAATGTAGGTTGTGGTGGCAGCTGCAGAGAAGTATTTGGATATACAAGACTTGACGTCCGAAGAGTTACAGGGTGTGTTGAGTGGTGGTGTCCTGTCCTTTCAGGCTGTAGGCCTGAGGTAGGACTAGATACATTTAAATAGTGGAGTAGGGTGGTGGGTTTTTAATGAGTGTAGGGTTAGATGGTAGGGTATTTATTGATTTATTTGCTTATATATAATTTTTAAAAAGGGGAGTTATACTCCAGTTTAGTAGGTGGCAGTAATGCAACATTTATTGATTGCCAACCGCCGTTTACCGTTGGATAAAAAAGGTAAGTTCCGGTCTACTTAACTGGGTGTGACACCAATGCAATAGTAACTGGGTCAGGTATATTTAGTTCATTGAACCAGGGAAAAACAGCGAGTGTGTGTCTCGCTTCCTCTTCCGTCTCTGTTGAAGCGCTTGTGTAGTGTTGACGTGTCTCTAAAGCGCTTTCTTACTCAGCTGTAGTAGAGTTTTTTCGCCGGTAGTCAGAACGAAAACTGGAGAGACCTATTGACACATAAGGACCACACACTCAAAGATCGTAACGCTTGGGAAATCATCATGGGCAGTGAGTATCCCCCAGAATAAAGTAGCTAGCTAAAGTAAAGGACGATTTCACATAATCAGGGAACTTTTGATTAATGAGATGCAAGCGATGTAATTTTTAAATGATTGGATCTCTGAAGGCCATTTTCATTGAAGCTACAGCTAACTAGCTAACTTTTAGCTAGCTGGACGACAAGTGCTCTTTGTTTCAAGCATATGTTTAACTCCTGTCTTTAACAGCAATGTCGGCAATAAAATGGCTAGTTTTGTCAGTTGTCAAGAATATGACGTTTAAAGGTGCGAGCTAGCTAGCTAGCTAGCTAGCTAGCGCGTTAGCTGTCAGTGTAACTTGCTAGCTAGCTAGCAAGCTTGCTAACGTTAGCTGTACAGATGTGTTAACTACTTTTTATTATGTACAGTCAGCTAACGTTACATATATAACTATATCATATCAACCAGTGTTACATGGTAATTGATATCTCGGAGCTTGATAACTTTACAAGTTAGCTAGAATGCAGTACTTATCTAGCTAATATAGCTAGCTATATATTGGATGCATACAGGCACATCCAGACTAGTGATGACGACGCATAGCTAACAGCCAGTGTTTGACACACAGGTTTAAATATCTCGTATCATAAGCAGTAAATGTTTACTGAAACACATTTGCTAGTATGAAAATGTTTTAAATTGGATTAACAATTGTGTATAGTAAGATCTGTTTTCATAGTGAATTCGCTTAGTTTATAGCCAAAGATCCAATCCGCTATGAATGTACCGTTATGCCACGTCCACCTATAAATAGTTATGTCATTCACTGGCCTTGATTGATGTTTATTATGGCGAGTCTATTGAATAACATCCCTCCTTTTGCCTGTTTTTCAGTCAAATTCCTGGAGGTAATAAAGCCATTCTGCGCCGTCTTACCTGAAATCCAGAAACCTGAAAGAAAGGTACAGTATTTACTTTATGAAGACAAGTATGTTTTACTTTCAACTTTATAAACCTCTGTTCCTGCTTCCATGTCTCACTGTAATTGCTGTGTTCAACAGATCCAGTTCAGAGAGAAGGTACTATGGACAGCCATCACTCTCTTCATTTTCCTCGTGTGCTGCCAGGTAAATATCAGCCATTTTGTTCACACAACACTCTCTTTTCTAGCATTTGAAACTGGTATAATAAATACTTTCACACCTGAATGTCTGTCACCTCTATCTTCCAGATTCCCCTGTTTGGCATCATGTCCTCAGACTCTGCAGATCCCTTCTACTGGATGAGAGTCATTCTGGCCTCCAACAGAGGTGGGTTGTCACTTTTGCAATGTAGAGACAAGTGAATAAATGAATGGCTCTGTGAACTCATAAATCAATCAAGGGACATGGCAATGAATGAGTCAATTAGTAACTGAGTGTGTGAATTGATAAAGTGTTGAGTGAATGCTGAGTTAATCAATAGGAGTGATAACTTTATCTCTGACTTAAATGGGTGATTGGTATTATTTCCGATTGAATGGCTGAACATCTGTATACCTCTGCTCTCCTGTTAACATCCCCTGGGTCTCTCCTGTCCATCCAGGTACCCTGATGGAGCTGGGTATCTCTCCCATAGTCACCTCTGGCCTAATCATGCAGCTCCTGGCCGGGGCTAAGATCATTGAGGTGGGAGACACCCCCAAAGACAGGGCCCTCTTCAACGGAGCACAGAAATGTAAGACCACAAGCCCCACTTCTTGATCTTAGTTTGACTTAATTTTGTCAAGTTTAAGCATTAGTGTGAATGAGGCCATATAATTTCTAACCCCTTGCTATCTCCTACAGTGTTTGGTATGATCATCACCATTGGTCAGGCCATTGTGTATGTGATGACTGGAATGTACGGAGATCCCTCCGATATGGGCGCTGGGATCTGTCTGCTCATCATCATCCAGGTGAGCCCCCCCCCCTCTCCAAAACACTCCTTTCTTGCTACCTTTTCAGAGGTTATATATATGAATCTGTAAGTGATTGGATAATTTAAAGCGAGGTTCACATCCAAATTTTTTACCAATCCATTCCTCTCCGATTTACTTCAATGAATGTATGAATAAAGGTTATTTTTAAAGGAAGTCAAACAGGGCTCCAGTGTGAGTGGTTTGTCTCTGTGTCTCTAACCCACCTGTTTTCCCCCTCCAGCTGTTTGTGGCAGGTCTGATCGTGCTGCTGCTGGATGAGCTGCTGCAGAAGGGTTATGGTCTGGGCTCTGGTATCTCCCTGTTCATCGCCACCAACATCTGTGAGACCATTGTCTGGAAGGCCTTCAGCCCCACGACTGTCAACACTGGCAGAGGTAAGACACCAGTCCAGATGGCTGTGGGAGAAGGACATTAGGACTCACAGGGGCTAAACTGGGGCACTGAAACTGATGTGCCCTGTCTGGCTGTACATTTAGGACAGACTTACTAATTTCCACTATCAGAGATAAACATACCTGGTTATATGCAAGTGGTAATCCTATAGATGGCTCCTATAGATCGTGTTGGCCTTGAAAACCCCAGGGGTCAAGGTTAGGTCAGGTGGTCTCTAGATGTGAGGCTGATGTTTGAGTCTCTTGTGTTTAGGCACAGAGTTTGAAGGAGCCATCATTGCCCTCTTCCATCTGCTGGCCACACGGACAGACAAGGTGCGCGCCCTGAGAGAGGCCTTCTACCGCCAGAACCTGCCCAATCTTTTGAACCTCCTCGCTACCGTCTTCGTCTTTGGTGTAGTCATATACTTCCAGGTTAGTTACTGTCTTTCTTCTTTAAAACCTGTTAAAGGAGTTGAACACATTTTGTTATTGTCAGAGAATTGGTCCCCCGAAAAACAACACAATGCAGTAATTTCTTTCTTTACCTTTTTAGTAATGACCAATTAGACTTTATATATTTATAATATGGGTATGTTCTACCCTCTCTCACGTCTGTCTCTTCCTCCCGTCTCTCTATAGGGCTTCAGGGTGGACCTGCCCATCAAGTCTGCCCGTTACCGTGGCCAGTACAACACTTATCCCATCAAGCTCTTCTACACCTCCAACATTCCCATCATCCTCCAGTCTGCCCTCGTGTCCAACCTGTACGTCATCTCTCAGATGCTCTCCACTCGCTTCAGTGGCAACTTCCTGGTTAACCTGCTGGGTACCTGGTCTGTAAGTACACACCATTTTAAACAATTTCCCTGAACTACCATGTCTGAACTCTAAACTCAAGTTAACTACATTTGGCAGGTTTGTCACATTAACATCAGCACAGTACCCTGCCCTGAACTTAAGTCACTGTTACTAGCCGGCTACCACCCAGTATTCAACCCTGCACCTTAGACTGCTGCCCTATCTACATAGTCATTGACCACTGGTCACTTTAATAATGTTTAAATACTGTTTTACCCACTTCATATGTATATAATGTATTCTAGTCAAGGCTCATCCTATATAACTACTGCTTTACACAACTTTTTATATTGATATACTGTCCATAATGTCTATACACACCATCATATACATACAGTATATATTTATATTCCGGACTCTGACATTACTCTGACATTATTTTTGGGATTTGCGTGTATTGTTAGGTATTACTGCATTGTTGGAGCTAGGAACATACACCCGTGATAACATCTGCAAAATATGTCTACACGACCAATCAAATTTGATTCGATTTGAACATATCCAGCAACACATAATGTATGAGCTGACCAGACTTGTGTGTTTTGTAGGACACATCGTCAGGCGGTCCAGCTCGTGCCTACCCAGTGGGTGGGCTCTGTTACTACTTCTCTCCCCCGGAGTCGTTTGGTTCGGTCCTAGATGACCCCATCCACGCTGCCATCTACATCTGCTTCATGCTGGGCTCCTGTGCATTTTTCTCCAAGACCTGGATCGAGGTGTCTGGCTCCTCTGCCAAAGATGTAAGTCCTTCTACCACATGTGCTGTACATTTGTTAAACTATGTAATTATACATTTATAATTTTGATGTAGAAATCTCCTTAACTAAACATTTCTATGGCTTTTGAGAGTAGCAGGTTTCAGAGGAACTGTATATGTGTAATGTAAACCATGAGTGTGTGTTTGCTCTCCCAGGTGGCTAAGCAGCTAAAGGAGCAGCAGATGGTGATGAGGGGACACAGAGAGACCTCCATGGTTCATGAACTCAACAGGTAAACAATCTTAGCCATCACTCTAACCTTTAGCCATAACAATCCTTGTCATCGTAGCTTTAACAGGGTTTGATGACACTTTTCCAAATAAACTTTATTCAGGTAATGATTGTTGCACTACTACTTGAGTTTGCCTTCTGTATCAAGCTGAAATCTTGCCTCTGTGTGTTCCAGGTACATCCCCACAGCGGCGGCCTTTGGTGGTCTCTGTATCGGTGGCCTTTCTGTCATGGCGGACTTCCTGGGTGCTATCGGCTCGGGCACAGGTATCCTGCTGGCCGTCACCATCATCTACCAGTACTTTGAGATCTTTGTCAAGGAGCAGAGTGAAGTGGGCAGCATGGGAGCCCTGCTCTTCTAGACAGACACCTGGCTACAATACCTGCTATGTAACCACCCTCTTAATGCACATGGACATGCCCCAGATCAGACCAAGTCCTACCAACCTCTTATTATTCACATTATTTTATGTCCATTTAGATTTTTTAAATCTGCACAATGAATCTGTTCTCTCCTGTGTCATTTTCCGGATGCTTTCTGGCATCTCCCCCTGACATGGCCTACAGGAGGTTCAGCCCAAACAGAATGGTTTGTGTAGTGAAGTGGTGGGACTGACTACATCCTGACACTCACAACACACAGATCAACAGATGGCCCTTTTCAGACTGAGACAACAGCTCTGTGGTATGCAAGCATGTATACTGCACTGGGATGAGGGCAGTCCCTCTCTTACTGGACTTATTTCATACAACCCAACACAGTATACATAGGAACGCTTTGGTTTTCTGCTTAAATTCCATCACCTCGATTACCTGGAGGATATAGGCATGAGTGTACAGTATACCTTTACAACTGGGCTCTTTGGTACAATCTTTTGAGTGGCCATCAGGTTTTGACTTAATGGCCACTCATTTCACTAATTGAGTAGCAAGGAAAGGTTTGGTCAAGACTCTCAGAATTTTTCAGAATATAACCATGTTTGTTCGCCAGACGTGACTGTTTAAAGCCGTGTTCCAATATACTGTAGGGTCAGGAAGTTGAGCGTAGGGCTCTTAGAATGTGGTGCAGATTTGTCAAATGTTTGCTTTTTATTTTTGTGAAAGTGTGCATTGGAAGAGTTATCAAGTTAACCACTCATAGCAGGAGGTCCTCTCTGTTGAAACTGGGCTAAAGGGAAGTGGCGTACATTTAGGGAGATGTAATCGTACTTGTATGCCACGTTCATACCTGTTGCCCATTTTGTTGGGTGAGGAAAGATATTTTTTTTTTTTCATTGTCTGCTTTGAGCAGGACTGTATTAAACACTTTCACACATCGTGAATTTTGGTTTTCTGTATATATATATACCATGCATTGAATTAATCTACAGTGTAAAATAACAGTTTTTTAGAATATGTAAAAATGCTGTTCCGAACAAATGTATTCTGAGAATAAAAAAGATCATTCTCAATAAAAACTCATTTTGGGGAAAGGTTAGTTTTTTCTTTGGGTGAAGACTACTGATAACTTTAATTATTGTCTGGATAAATTCATCACACACACTTCAAGCAAAGTATTTTTGTGTCATATGATAAAAAAAGCTTTCCAATATCTGTAAGTGTACACCAACTTGCTTTTATGTGTCTAGCTACTCCAGTCAAGATTATTACTCGTGACCTCTGTTACTGTATCAGTGCAAGTATGTGTGGCGACCGGAGTATGGGCGAGTGGGTGTATGGAAATTGAATTAGCCAATTGAGCAGATTTGTTGCCACTCGACCATTTTGCGTCTACTACTCAATGGGGAGGGCATGAACAGCAACATCGGGACACAGCGGTACGGTAGCTCAATGTACGGTAGTTGCACGGTAAGATACGGAAGAAAAAAAACAGCTCAATCAAAACCGTCTTAACGCCTTTCGACACACCCACTCCTTTCCACACGCCCACTCCTTTCCACACGCCCACTACATTCCTTTCGACATACCTACCCGCCCCATACTAAATCCACAGACAATGCAATCGCCATTGCACTGCACACTGCCCTATCCCATCTGGACAAGAGGAAAACCTATCTAAGAATGCTGTTCATTGACTATAGCTCAGCTTTCAACACCATAGTACCCTCCAAGCCCATCATTAAGCTCGGGGCCCTGGGTCTGAACCCCGCTCTGTGCAACTGGGTCCTGGACTTCCTGACGGGCCAACCCCAGGTGGTGAAGGTAGGAAACAACACCTCCACTACGCTGATCCTCAACACAGGGGCCCCACAAGGGTGTGTGCTCAGCCCCCTCCTGTACTCCCTGTTCACCCATGACTGCGTGGCCACGCACGCCTCCAACTCAATCATCAAGACGACACAACAGTAGTTGGCCTGATTACCAACAATGACGAGATAGCCTACAGGGAGGAGGTGAGGGCCCTGGCGGAGTGGTGCCAGGAAAATAACCTCTCCCTCAACGTCAATAAACCGAAGGAGCTGATCGTGGACTTCAGGAGACAGCAGAAGGAGCCCACCCCTATCCACATCGACGGGACCGCAGTGGAGAAGGTGAAAAGCTTCAAGTTCCTCGGTGTATACATCAATGACAATCTGAAATGGTCCACACACACAGACAGTGTGGTGAAGAAGGCGCAACAGCGCCTCGTCAACCTCAGGAGGCTGAAGAAATTCGGCTTGGCCCCTAAGACCCTCACAAACTTTTACAGATGCACAATTGAGAGCATCCTGTCGGTCTGTATCACCGCCTGGTACGGCAACTGCACCGCCCGCAACCGCAGGGCTCTCCAGAGGGTGGTCCGGTCTCCCCAACGCATCGCCAGGGGCACACTGCCTGCCCTCCAGGACACCTACAGCACCCGATGTCACAGGAAGGCCAAAAAGATAATCAAGGACATCAACCACTTGAGCCACGGCCTGTTCACCCCGCTATCATCCAGAAGGCGAGGTCAGTACAGGTGCATCAAAGCTGGGACCATCATTAGCCGGCTACCACCTTGTTACTCAATCCTGCACCTTAGAGGCTGCTGCCCTATGTACATTGACATGGAATCACTGGTCACTTTAATAATGGAACACTAGTCACTTTAATGTTTACATACTGTTTTACTCATTTCATATGTATATAATGTATTCTACTGTATTTTAGTCACTCCAACATTGCTCCTCCTAATATTTATAGATTTCTTAATTCCATTCTTTAACTTTTAGATTTCTGTGTATTGTTGTGAATTGTTAGATACTACTGCACTGTTGAAGCTAGGAACACAAGCATTTCGCTACACCCGCAATAACATCTGCTAAATGTGTATGTGAGCAATAAAATTAGATTTCATTTCATTTCATTCTCTGGTCGCCATATTGGGATGCAGCTACCCCCTTCTCAATCAGTGTGACAGTTCACTATGAATTACATCAGGAACTAAGAGGGGCAGCTAAAAGGGGTCCTTCGTACTCAGGGTAGGGGAGGGAATGGCGGGCAGGGATGTAGCTCAGTTGGTAGAGCATGGCAATTTGCAACGCCAGGGTTGTGGATTCGATTCCCACGGGGGGACAGTATTAAAAAATAAAATAATGTATGCACTCACTAACTGTAAGTCGCTCTGGATAAGAGCGTCTGCTAAATGACTAAAATGTATATGTAATGTCCTGCCGTCAAAGATGCTTATAACTAACCCAAGATAGACCACGGCCTGTCGTTTCCAATGGGAGCAAATTAATCATTGTGGGCAGACAAGAGCAGGCAGAGCCAAGCACGAGCTAACGAGACGTTATTGGCGCGTTCTTGCATATAGTTGCATATTTCCGTTAGGGAACGCCTACTCAGTGAAGTGCGCGTGTGCACTAATTCAATTTGCCCTTCAATTTGCCCTTGCACTCCTAAAGAACGCAATTTGTACAACTTTGGCAAAAGGTAAAGTCTACAAAACTTAGTCCACTCTGTTCGTAACAGATTCTAGTTTTGGAAACAGAAAACTGTATTGAGATCAAATGTTTAATCGATGAGAAAATGTACGGAATATCGGCCAAAATCCATTTAGCTCCATCTTCTTCCACTGCCGGCCACTGGCTTCCTCTCATCACCATATTTGATATTGAGTGGAAACGCCAACCGGATTCTTCGCATTTATATTCCTGAGAACCAAGGAAAATATTTTTTTTCCTAATCATATTTTTTGTGATTCAATAACTGTTTAGGGTTAAAAAAAGCATCCTACAATTTCCACATTTTAATTTTATTTTTTATTTTTTATTTTACAGCATGTCCACTGTAGTGGACAACAGGATCATTTGAGTACGAAAAGAGACACATTTGGTAGATACAAATTTTTACAGAGTTCTTACAGATTACAGAGTTTTTATGAACTAAGAATACATACATTTTGGGCTGTAGATTGATTATTATCCAAGAATACAGACATTTTGATTATACAATACACATTAATCATTCTTGAATCCTTTTCCTTACATTTCGCAAGGATAGCTTTACTATTAAAGCTTAACACTTTGTTATGTCCATATCCTTTGATTGGTCCCCTTGAATCCTTTCAGTGTTATTTGAACAATGAACATATAACTAATGTGTAACAGATTTATTTTGGATTTTTTCCTTCTGTCAAACTGAATCCAATCTAGCTTTTTCCTTCACTCTTCATTTTGTTCTTAGTATTTTCTTTGTTAGTGGTGAAAGTCCTGGAAGCAATTTCTCTTTTTGGTAATGCAGAGGAACATCTTGCATTTGGTACATCTCATGTACGTCTTGCTCTTGCAGCCCTTATTTCTGCATCTTTCTGCATGCTTGGTATCCATAATCTCAGGCATGTGCATGGCTCCTAGTCTGCGCACAGATGGCTCTGGTTGTGGGATCCTCATTTTAGATGGTGGCTCATACTCATCCTCACTCTCTTCACAGCTGTTTTCCAGTTCCGGACTCTCCAACAGCTCCTCAGCTAGGAGTAGTTTGAAGTCCAGGTACTGATGTGTGTTCTTGGATGGTCTGTGCAGAGCTTTGCTGTCAGACTGGTATTGTATCCAGGAGTTGGTGATGGCAACATCAAAGAAGTGACTGATCACGCGCGATGTCCACTTCTTGGTCCTGCTTGACATACGATAGAAGCTAAGCATGCGATCACAAAGATCTACGCCACCCATGTTATCATTATACTGCTTAATTACTGCTGGTCTTTTAACCTGGACCAGGTGCTTTTCTTTCTGGGACCATCTGGTACAGATGTCTTCTGGGTCTTTCCCATGTACAGTGGATGCCATGAGCACTGGTTTGTTGTCGAACCATTTTGTGATGGCCAGCTCAGGACTCTTTCTGGCCACTGACACTGATGTTCCTCTCCCCTCTTTTTTCAACTGTTTGTCTACTGGCAGCTGGCACAGCTTTGGGACACGGTTCTTCATTATAGTTCCAGTTGCAGGAAGGCCCTTTGCCAGCAATGCATCCAATATATCTATGGTTGTGAAGTACCTGTCAAAGAATATGTGGCTTCCTGTTGGAACAGATTCAACCATGCGAAGAACTGCTGCAGCTCCAACTCCTAACCTTTGGACTGTAAAGGTATTCTTCCCTTGGTAGACTTCAAAATCAAGCATCAGACCATTTGGGGATGCAAGGACAAAGACCTTTAGGCCAGTAGGGTTTGGCTTGCCGGGAACATATTGCCTGACTGGACAACGGCCTGTGAATGGGATGATTTGCTCATCAATGCAGACCCTTTCTGGCTTTGCAAGGCTGAGACAGCCTTGGCGCACACGATCGAGTATTGGCCTGACTTTCCAAAGAATATCTGCCTTCTTTGTTTCCTCTGTTACAGCCAGGTCATTGACAATCTTGAGGGAATTTCTTATCCTGAAGAATCTATCCCTAGTCATTTTGCTACTTATGACTGGCACTTTAGTTTTGTTGGCCCAAAACATTTTAATTCTGGGATAGCCAAGGCAGGCCATGTGGACTGAAATGCCCAAGAAGATTTTTATTTCTTGTGGCGTGGTGTTCATGCACACTCCTTTGATTTGCAGCTCTCTTTGATTTGTGTATGTTGCCAAATCTTCAAAGACCTTGTTGTCAATGTACTGTGAAAAGTATTCAATTGGACTCCAGTCTGCACGTGTTGTAGGGTCATCTTGACACACAGGAAGCCCAGGTAACACAGGTGCAAATCTGATATGAAGGAAAAAAGAATAATAAATGATAAGTAATAACAGTTTAAATACTCAATGCAGCTGAATTTAAAATTGTGGAACTGCATCAAACATACATGTTACTCCTGGCCCACAGAGGGCGACGAGTTTCCTGTTCATCCCTGTCTGTATCTGTGTCTGTGTCTGCATCTGTCCCTTCAACTGAGCCTTCTGCATTGTCTTCCTCTTCTTCATCACCGTTTTGTATCACTGGTTGAAACTTATCCTCATCTCTCTCATCATCTGACAACTCCAAATCTGAATCTCCCTCGACTATTCGGTAAAGAATTCTTTCTGCTTCAGTTCTGTTTCCTACGACAATGTGGAGTCATTATTTACATGAAGATAGTCCTGATGTCCACTATAATTGACATTCATAAAATGGCAAATCTTTCAAAAGATACATAATTTAGTTGCTATCAGAACTAAATATATGATTCCTAACACCTTCATGAACAAGAAAATATATGATTATCATAGTAACAAAACCATAGACAAACAATATTTGACTTACCTCTCATCTTTCCATAAAATGTGCTTGTTCCTATGCCGTCCATTTTCAATCAATCAATCAATTTTATTTTATATAGCCCTTCTTACATCAGCTAATATCTCGAAGTGCTGTACAGAAACCCAGCCTAAAACCCCAAACAGCTAGTAATGCAGGTGTAGAAGCACGGTGGCTAGGAAAAACTCCCTAGAAAGGCAAAACCTAGGAAGAAACCTAGAGAGGAACCAGGCTATGAGGGGTGGCCAGTCCTCTTCTGGCTGTGCCGGGTGGAGATTATAACAGAACCATGCCAAGATGTTCAAAAATGTTCATAAGTGACAAGCATGGTCAAATAATAATCAGGAATAAATCTCAGTTGGCTTTTCATAGCCGATCATTAGAGTTTAAAACAGCAGGTCTGGGACAGGTAGGGGTTCCATAACCGCAGGCAGAACAGTTTAAACTGGAATAGCAGCAAGGCCAGGCGGACTGGGGACAGCAAGGAGTCACCACGGCCGGTAGTCCCGACGTATGGTCCTAGGGCTCAGGTCTCTCAGTTGGCTTTTCATAGCCGATCATTAAAGAGTTGAAAACAGCAGGTCTGGGACAGGTAGGGGTTTCGTAGCCGCAGGCAGAACAGTTGAAACTGGAATAGCAGCAAGGCCAGGCGGACTGGGGACAGCAAGGTGTCATCATGCCCGGTAGTCCTGACGTATGGTCCTAGGGCTCAGGTTCTCAGAGAGAAAGAGAGAACGAGAGAATTAGAGAGAGCATACTTAAATTCACACAGGACACTGGATAAGACAGGAGAAGTACTCCAGGTATAACCAACTAACCCCAGCCCCCCGACACATAAACTACTGCAGCATAAATACTGGAGGCTGAGACAGGAGCGGTCCGGAGACACTGTGGCCCCATCCGAAGAAACCCCCGGACAGGGCCAAACAGGAAGGATATAACCCCACCCACTCCGCCAAAGCACAGCCCCCGCACCACTAGAGGGATATCCCCAACCACCAACTTACAATCCTGAGACAAGGCCGAGTATAGCCCACAGAGGTCTCCACCACAGCACAAACCAAGGGGGGGGGGCGCCAACCCAGACAGGAAGATCACGTCAGTAACTCAACCCACTCAAGTGACGCACCCCTCCCAGGGACGGCATGAAAGAGCACCAGCAAGCCAGTGACTCAGCCCCTGCAACAGGGTTAGAGGCAGAGAACCCCAGTGGAGAGGGGAACCGGCCCGGCAGAGACAGCAAGGGCTGTTCGTTGCTCCAGCCTTTCCGTTCACCTTCACACTCCTGGGCCAGACTACACTCAATCATATGACCTACTGAAGAGATAAGTCTTCAGTAAAGACTTAAAGGTTGAGACCGAGTCTGCGTCTCTCACATGGGTAGGCAGACTGTTCCATAAAAATGGAGATCTATAGGAGAAAGCCCTGCCTCCCGCTGTTTGCTTAGAAATTCTAGGGACAATTAGGAGGCCTGCGTCTTGTGACCGTAGCGTACGTATTGGTATGTACGGCAGGACCAACTCGGAAAGATAGGTAGGAGCAAGCCCATGTAACGCTTTATAGGTTAACAGTAAAACCTTGAAATCAGCCCTTGCCTTAACAGGAAGCCAGTGTAGGGAAGCTAGCACTGGAGTAATATGATCAAATTTCTTGGTTCTAGTCAGGATTCTAGCAGCCGTATTTAGCACTAACTGAAGTTTATTTAGTGCTTTATCCGGGTAGCCGGAAAATAGAGCATTGCAGTAGTCTAATCTAGAAGTAACAAATGCATGGATTAATTTTTCTGCATCATTTTTGGACAGAAAATTTCTGATTTTTGCAATGTTACGTAGATGGAAAAAAGCTGTCCTTGAAACAGCTGTCCTTGAAACAGTCTTGATATGTTCGTCATTTTGAAAGGAAAGATAGAGGCGGTTCCCGGCCTCCCAGCCAATCAAATGACATATCACTGAAAAGCCCAGGATGTCCTCTGTACAGTACATCAGGAATTAAGAGACTTGCACAAAAGATTCCAAGAAGAGGGATGAAACTCAAATGTCCACTACAGTGGACATAAGTCAATGGGCTGGGTCTCAGGAGGATTACAAAGGTGAAATATGTGGCTCATTGTTCTATCTGTGACAGTACAAGATAGGCAGAAACTGCTTCTCCAATAGAAATCGCCGATCACACTTGTAGGCGATGTCATGGCAACGTTGGCTAGCTGAGCTCATGCGCAGAAACACGTCGGCACGAGAGGACTCGTCTAATGGTCGTCTTGCGCCAAACTGCGCACGTGCATGTCGTCAAATCAAAGGCACTCCTTTGATATAAAGTAGTATACTTTACAGAAATGAAAACGTGTCAGTTTGTCACTTTCACGAGGTTGGAGTAATAACATGTTCAACAACTTAAGACATTGGCTCGAATCTAGGTTGTGCCTTTAGATTTCGAGAAAATGTGCAACTAAGGAATACTTTTTCACTTCTCTCATTGCCTTCTCAAACCCGTCCTGGTCTGCTTGGTTTTTTCGCAAGGATCTCGCGATGTTGCGCCTCTGGGTTTAGAAACTCTGTGCTGCCGTCATCAGATGCACTCTGAGGCAAAAGACATGTACCCTAACCCTTTTCCTAACCTTGACCTAAGTCTCCTAACCTGCCACGTTAATTATCCTAACCTACTGCATAAATTATCCTAACCTGCCATGAAAAAGTCACTTCAGGTCATCGCTGTACTCCCTGTAGTCAGAACTACACTGCTCAAAAAAATAAAGGGAACACTAAAATAACACATCCTAGATCTGAATGAATGAAATAATCTCATTAAATACTTTTTTTCTTTACATAGTTGAATGTGCTGACAACAAAATCACACAAAAATTATCAATGGAAATCAAATTTATCAACCCATGGAGGTCTGGATTTGGAGTCACCCTCAAAATTAAAGTGGAAAACCACACTACAGGCTGATCCAACTTTGATGTAATATCCTTAAAACTAGTCAAAATGAGGCTCAGTAGTGTGTGTGGCCTCCACGTGCCTGTATGACCTCCCTACAACGCCTGGGCATGCTCCTGATGAGGTGGCGAATGGTCTCCTGAGGGATCTTCTCCCAGACCTGGACTAAAGCATCCGCCAACTCCTGGACAGCCTGTGGTGCAACGTGGTGTTGGTGGATGGAGCGAGACATGATGTCCCAGATGTGCTCAATTGGATTCAGGTCTGGGGAACGGGCGGGCCAGTCCATAGCATCAATGCCTTCCTCTTGCAGGAACTGCTGACACACTCCAGCAACATGAGGTCTAGCATTGTCTTGCATTAGGAGGAACCCAGGGCCAACCGCACCAGCATATGGTCTCACAAGGGGTCTGAGGATCTCTTCTCGGTACCTAATGGCAGTCAGGCTACCTCTGGCGAGCACATGGAGGGCTGTGCGGCCCCCCAAAGAAATGCCACCCCACACCATGACTGACCCACCGCCAAACCGGTCATGCTGGAGGATGTTGCAGGCAGCAGAATGTTCTCCACGGCGTCTCCACACTCTGTCACGTCTGTCACATGTGCTCAGTGAGAACCTGCTTTCATCTGTGAAGAGCACAGGGCGCCAGTGGCGAATTTGCCAATCTTGGTGTTCTCTGGCAAATGCCAAACGTCCTGCACGGTGTTGGGCTGTAAGCACAACCCCCACCTGTGGACGTCGGGCCCTCATACCACCCTCATGGAGTCTGTTTCTGACCGTTTGAGCAGACACATGCACATTAGTGGCCTGCTGGAGGTCATTTTGTAGGGCTCTGGCAGTGCTCCTCCTGCTCCTCCTTGCACAAAGGCGGAGGTAGCAGTCCTGCTGCTGGGTTGTTGCCCTCCTACGGCCTCCTCCACATCTCCTGATGTACTGGCCTGTCTCCTGGTAGCGCCTCCAGGCTCTGGACACTACGCTGACAGACACAGCAAACCTTCTTGCCACAGCTCGCATTGATGTGCCATCCTGGATGAGCTGCACTACCTGAGCCACTTGTGTGGATTGTAGACTCCGTCTCATGCTACCACTAGAGTGAAAGCACCGCCAGCATTCAAAAGTGACCAAAACATCAGCCAGGAAGCATAGGAACTGAGAAGTGGTCTGTGGTCACCACCTGCAAAACCAGTCCTTTATTGGGGGTGTCTTGCTAATTGCCTATAATTTCCACCTGTTGTCTATTCCATTTGCACAACAGCATGTGACATTTATTGTCCATCAGTGTTGCTTCCTAAGTGGACAGTTTGATTTCACAGAAGTGTGATTGACTTGGAGTTACATTGTGTTGTTTAAGTGTTCCCTTTATTTTTTTGAGCAGTGTATATGAAGGAGCTAGCTACCAGTGGAAGCTGCTGAGGGGAGGACGGCTCATAATAATGGCTGGAACGGAGCAAATGGAATGGCAATTGACCATGTGTTTTATGTATTTGATACCATTCCACTCATTCCGCTCCAGCCATTACCACGAGCCCGTTCTCCCCAATTGAGTTGCACACAAACCTCCTTTGTTAGCTACCTAGTTGTGAAACAGCTATACCATACCAAAATTATCTCCAGGAAACTCATGGAAACTAATTGCAATTCATCTGATCACTCTTCATGACATTCTGGAGTATATGCAAATTGCCATCATCAAAACTGAGGCAGCAGACTTTGTGAAAATTAGTATTTGTGTCATTCTCAAAACTTTTGACCACACTGTATAAATGAATAGTAATTTTATTGGACATATTAGAGTTGACAAACTCCAGTCCACAATCCTATTCATGCCACTTGAGTCAGTGGGGACTGTAAACTCACTGACCTCTGCCTCTTTCCTCTCCACACCAGGTAAGAACCGTGTCATCTTTGTGACTACGGAGGAACATGAACACCGAGCAACGCTGAGCTGGTGGAGGAGGATCCTGATGACCCCTATGAAGAACGAGGTGAGTGGAGAGGGGCAGAGAGGAGTAATGCAGCTCAATTAGATTAGATTAGGCCCAGATTATCTCAATTACTTACTAGATTGACATGAGGACAAAGCCTAATGTCCCACTGCCTTACATGTTTTCATTGATCTGTTGTAACATTGGCCAGACTTGCTGACCTCTGCTATACCCAGTAAAATCATAGATTTGCACTTCTTTCTGGTATTAGCTAAAAAACTACAGTCTACACTATAAACACAATAAACTACATTATAACTATGCATGTAGAGATGTTTTTACAGCATTATGTGCAATGGGGGAAATATATATGTAAGTCAGTCCGTGTAAGTCCGTTAACCGTTTTCTCTCTCTCTCTCTCTCTCTCTCGCTCTCTCTCTCTCTCTCTCTCTCTCTCTCTCTCTCTCTCTCTCTCTCTCTCTCTCTCTCTCAATTTCAATTCAATTCAATTTAAGGGCTTTATTGGCATGGGGAACATATGTTAACATTGCCAAAGCAAGTGAAATAGATAATAAACAAAAGTGAAATAAACAATAAATATTAACAGTAAACATTACATTCAGAAGTTCCAAAAGAATAAAGACATTTCAAACGTCATATTATGTCTATTTACAGCGTTGTAACGATGTGCAAATAGTTAAAGTACAAATGGGAAAATAAATAAACATAAATATGGGTTGTATTTACAATGGTGTTTATTCTTCACTGGTTGCCCTTTTCTTGTGGCAACAGGTCACAAATCTTGCTGCTGTGATGGCACACTGTGGTTTTTCACCCAGTAGATAAGGGAGTTTATCAAAATTGGGTTTGTTTTCGAATTCTTTGTTGATCTCTGTAATCTGAGGGAAATATGTGTCTCTAATATGGTCATACATTTGGCAGGAGGTTAGGAAGTGCAGCTCAGTTTCCACCTCATTTTGTGGGCTCTCTCTCCCTCTCTCTCTTTCTCTCTCTTTCTCTCTGAGCCTGCCCAATGGGGAGATCAACTGGAACTGCCCATGTTTAGGAGGGATGGCCAGCGGTCCCTGTGGAGCATTATTCAAGGAGGTCTTCTCCTGTTTCCACTACAGCAAGGAGGAGGTGAGGGGCTCGGAGTGCCTGGAGCAGTGCAGGGGCATGCAGGAGTGTATGCAGAGGTACCCAGAACTCTACCCCCAGGAGGATGACAAGGAGACCCAGAGTGGCCGTCTGAAATGGAGTCCTTCAACCACGACTCTGCCGCTGAACCAACCCCTAGACCTGCAGCCCCTGTCCAAGACTCTAGCCCCTCCCCCTTATCCTCCACCCCTGCTGACACACCACCACCACACCCCTCAGACAGCTCAGCATCAAGCTGAGTGATTCACCACTAGCCCTTTCTGTGGAAGTATGGAAGCAAAAGCTGTTGTCAGTACAAGTACTTATATTTATGGATGTGTCAAGGTGATCCTTTTTATATACACTGCTCAAAAAAATAAAGGGAACACTTAAACAACACAATGTAACTCCAAGTCAATCACACTTCTGTGAAATCAAACTGTCCACTTAGGAAGCAACACTGATTGACAATACATTTCACATGCTGTTGTGCAAATGGAATAGACAACAGGTGGAAATTATAGGCAATTAGCAAGACACCCCCAATAAAGGACTGGTTTTGCAGGTGGTGACCACAGACCACTTCTCAGTTCCTATGCTTCCTGGCTGATGTTTTGGTCACTTTTGAATGCTGGCGGTGCTTTCACTCTAGTGGTAGCATTAGACGGAGTCTACAACCCACACAAGTGGCTCAGGTAGTGCAGCTCATCCAGGATGGCACATCAATGCGAGCTGTGGCAAGAAGGTTTGCTGTGTCTGTCAGCGTAGTGTTCAGAGCATGGAGGTGCTACCAGGAGACAGGCCAGTACATCAGGAGACGTGGAGGAGGCCGTAGGAGGGCAACAACCCAGCAGCAGGACTGCTACCTCCGCCTTTGTGCAAGGAGGAGCAGGAGGAGCACTGCCAGAGCCCTGCAAAATGACCTCCAGCAGGCCACAAATGTGCATGTGTCTGCTCAAACGGTCAGAAACAGACTCCATGAAGGTGGTATGAGGGCCTGATGTCCACAGGTTGGGGTTGTGCTTACAGCCCAACACCGTGCAGGATGTTTGGCATTTGCCAGAGAACACCAAGATTGGCAAATTCGCCACTGGCACCCTGTGCTCTTCACAGATGAAAGCAGGTTCACACTGAGCACGTGACAGACGTGACAGAGTCTGGAGACGCCGTGGAGAACGTTCTGCTGCAACATCCTCCAGCATGACCGGTTTGGCGGTGGGTCAGTCATGGTGTGGGGTGGCATTTCTTTGGGGCGCCGCACAGCCCTCCATGTGCTCGCCAGAGGTAGCCTGACTGCCATTAGGTACCGAGATGAGATCCTCAGGCCCCTTGTGAGATCATATGCTGGTGTGGTTGGCTCTGGGTTCCTCCTAATGCAAGACAATGCTAGACCTCATGTGGCTGGAGTGTGTCAGCAGTTCCTGCAAGAGGAAGGTATTGATGCTATGGACTGGCCCGCCCGTTCCCCAGACCTGAATCCAATTGAGCACATCTGGGACATCATGTCTCGCTCCATCCACCAACGCCACGTTGCACCACAGACTGTCCAGGAGTTGGCGGATGCTTTAGTCCAGGTCTGGGAGGAGATCCCTCAGGAGACCATCCGCCACCTCATCAGGAGCATGCCCAGGCGTTGTAGGGAGGTCATACAGGCACGTGGAGGCCACACACACTACTGAGCCTCATTTTGACTTGTTTTAAGGACATTACATCAAAGTTGGATCAGCCTGTAGTGTGGTTTTCCACTTTAATTTTGAGGGTGACTCCAAATCCAGACCTCCATGGGTTGATAAATTAGATTTCCATTGATAATTTTTGTGTGATTTTGTTGTCAGCACATTCAACTATGTAAAGAAAAAAGTATTTAATAAGATTATTTCATTCATTCAGGTCTAGGATGTGTTATTTTAGTGTTCCCTTTATTTTTGTTGAGCAGTGTACATTATTTAAAGTCCTACTCCAGTCTCCTTTTCAGGTCATTTATCCCCCCCCAAAAAAAATGTTTTTGTTGAATTTTATATTAACTGCACTTTCCTACTAGCACTGACTCTGCTGTACTTACGACTGTGATAAGTGGTTGTCTCACCTAGCTATCTTAAGTCGCTCAAAACAAGGTCACAGCATTACATGACAATGAGCCTAGAATTGCAAAACTGAACATGACCACGATTCACAGTCATTAACTTCTAAAAGTCTAAGCCGTTGGGGACACACATATTTAAACCCATATTTTTGAGGCACAAAACTACCTCCATACTTCCATTTGTTTGTATACCCATACCCATACAAACAAATGGAGGTAGTTTTGTGCCCCAAAAACCTTCAGACGAGTCCCGTGACACTTGTGGGGGTCATAGAGCGAAACGGAGTACATCGTGTTCGTGAGAGTCTCTCCTTTCCATAGTGGGGTCATATTAGTTTGTAGCTCAAACGGTTAGGACGCTACAGACAGAAGTTTGCGCATCAGTGTTACCGACTTCAGACGAGTCCAGTGACACTTGTGGGGGTCGTAGAGCAAAACGGAGAACACCATCGTGTTCGTGAGAGTCTCCCCTGTCTCATGGTCTGACAAACAGCGCTGTAGCTCGGCCACCTTCCATTGCAGATGCTGAAGGCCGACATAGGCGGATGTGGTGGATTGAGACGGAGCCCAAACAAAAAAACGGATATCTCTAGCTTAAACTGACAGATTTTGATTGGGATTATTTTGATTATGTTACTTAGATTGACGCATGGGTGCGTCAATAGACTCTGGATCAGCAGTGTGTGACCGTGAACTATCTACTTCTACAGAAAGGAACCCTGTCAGTTCTGAGCATGTGCAGGCTAAATGAAGACAGGTGACCATGACATTTTGTTGGGGTGTAAAATGAAGGAGAAAATGTTTTTAAGTTGATTGCATCCCGGACATAATTGCTTCCTACCCTTATTAATTCTCAAACTACCTATTTTTGGTGGTTAACACTTAGGTATTATTATAGGTTGTTCCATTGTATTTTCCTTATTAAGGTGTGTTTGTGTGGTGAACATGGCCTGGCCAAAGGTTCTGAGATGCATATGTGAGTGTGTTTTTCTTTTGTGTAACTGAGTTACATGTTTTAACTGAGAGGTCAGAGCTCAGTGCCAGTTTGCATCCTAAATGGAACCCTATTCCCTAAGTAGTGCACTCTAGTCAAAAGTCATGCACTACTTAGGGAATAGGGTGCCTTTTGGGATACCTTTTGGGATACAGCTCCTGTGTTTGTCGACTGAAGCGTGTGCCACATCATGTTCACTAGAAGATAAATGATTACCACACACCCTTATCTGGCTCTGCCCTGCTATTGGTGGGGTGAGGAGGGGAAAGAGGCCAGATAGCCAATGGGAGTGGCGAGAGGAGGGTGACCCTCATCTCAACCTTACACAGGTAGCTGTCCCACAGACTACAGACCCTTTACTCTGATAAACAGTGGTCAGCAGTGAGCTACAGAGCTGCCTGCCCATTTTCACTGTGTTCCCAGACATTGTGTGTCTCTCTTTGGGTTTGTCTCTCCTCTGATCCTGCTTAAATCCCCCATAGTGTGACAGGACACAGTGGACAGGATGTCGAACCTGAAAGAGCTGTGTAGCGGCCTGCCCCTGGACCCCATGCCACCCAATCGGGGCCGGGATCCCAGTGTGCCACATGCACCCGTCAGGACGCCCAACCTCACTCCAGAGGAGGAGAGGGTGAGTACACCGACATACTGTCACATCTCTGAATGCAGAATGTGTCAACGAACATTGACGTCACACTCAGGGATTTACCTGCAGATTGAGTATTGCAATATTGATAAGCACGTTTGCTTTTAAGGCTTCTCTGTTTATCTGTGAGTGAAACCATAATGCTTTTAATGTGGTATGTTAGTAGTAAACTAGACCAAAGACGCATATCTTCACAAGATGATTATACATCTACACTGAGTATACCAAACCCCCGCCCTTTTGCACTCAGAACAGTCTCAATTCGTCGGGCATGGACTCTACAAGGTGTCAAAAGCGTTCCACAGGGATGCTGGCCTATGTTTACGCCAATACTTCGCACAGCTGTGTCAAGTTGGGTAGAGATCCTTTGGGTGGTGGACCATTCTTGATACACACAGGAAACTGTTGAGCGTGAAAAACCCAGCAGCGTTGCAGTTCTTGACACAAACCGGTGTGCCTGGCACCTACTACCATACCCAGTTCAAATGCACTTAAATCTTTTTTCTTGCCCATTCACCCTCTGAATGGCACACATACACAATCCATGTCTCAATTGTCTCAAGGTTTAAAATCCTTCTTTAATCTTTCTCCTCCCCTTCATCTACACTGATTGAAGTGGATTTAACAAGTGACATCAATAAGGGATCATAGCTTTCACCTGGATTCACCTAGTCAGTCTGTCGTGGAAAGAGCAGGTGTTATTAATGTTTTGTATACTCAGCGTAAATCCCCACATCTTTTTTGTAGATTGCTTTTTGGCACTATAAAAAGGCATTAGCTTGTCTTACCTGATCCAGACGGAGGTAGAGTGATTATGAATGTAATAAAGATAGGAATTGGCAGTTAATGTGTCAAATAATACCGACTGTTATATTACTCAGTGAGAGTGACTCTTTAAAGTGAAAGGGGGTGAGACTCAAGCTTGTGAAATTTGTATCCAAATATTGTTGGAGAAAGTTGGGGACAAAGAACATAACAAAGCACAGTGCATGTGAATTGTTTTATTAAAGATATTGGGAGTCCATAATGTCATTATGTCATGCTCAGCACAGTGGAATTTTTTGGCTTAAGGGTAGGAGACAGTGTTGGTTCATCTCCTCAGAACCTTCTATCAGCTTCACTAATGTTTGCCAGGACTGGGAGCAAAGGGCACTGTCAATGATTAAGAGAGATAAGAGTGAGTGCTTTCATGGCTAGAGAGGGGGAGCGAAACACGAAGGACCAGAAAGTTAGGAAAGAGAGGATGCAAAAGTAGAAGAGGGCCACCCCATTCTGACCTCCTATCTCACCCCCTCACCTCCTCCCCCTCTCTAGCTGGCCCTGAGGAATGCCCTGCGCTACTTTCCCCCCTCCCACCACAGCATCCTTGCTGCTGAATTTGCCCAGGAGCTCAGGCAGTATGGACACATCTACATGTACCGTTTCTGCCCCCTCATACATATGAGGTACGTACAGTATAATCACCTAACACCACCTCTCATCTCCCCATCTGTAGTATTCCTCTTTCTCTGTTGATGCCATGATATGGTCTACCACACCCTGATCAGTCCCTGTGTGTGTGTGTGTGTGTGTGTGTGTGTGTGTGTGTGTGTGTGTGTGTGTGTGTGTGTGTGTGTGTGTGTGTGTGTGTGTGTGTGTGTGTGTGTGTGTGTGTGTGTGTGTGTGTGTGTGTGTGTGTGTGCGTCATCAGGGCCTATCCTATAGATCAGTACCCCTGTCGTACACGCCAAGCTGCCTCCATCATGCTCATGATCATGAACAACCTGGACCATACAGTTGCCCAGGTAACCACCACTCTCACATACTGTACACTGCACACAACAGCTCACTATATTTTAATTTAACTAAAACAATGTAATTAATCCACCTAAGTCACTCTGTCTATGGCTGCTTTATCATCTTCCCCTTGCTCTGCTCTCCAGTTTCCCCAGGAGCTGGTTACCTATGGGGGGAATGGACAGGTGTTCAGTAACTGGGCCCAGGTAAGCACAGATGCGATTATGATGGCATTATGTAGATATCTGTGTGTGGTAAAGTGTGTGTAATTTTATTTGCAGAATTTAATTAATCGCTATATATCTTTGCGTGTGTGTGTGTAGTTCTGTCTGGTGATGCACTACCTGAGTGAGATGACAGAAGAGCAGACTCTGGTCATGTACAGTGGTCATCCAGCGGGGCTGTTCCCCAGCCTGCCCTCCTCCCCCCGCGCCATCATTACCAATGGCCTGGTAACCACACATTCCTCCCTCCGCCTCTCCTTACTACACTCTTAGAAAAAAGGGTTCCAAAAGGGTTCTTCAGCTGTCCCCACAGTAGAATGCTTTTTGGTTCCAGGTAGAACCCTTTTTGGTTCCATGTAGAACCCTCTGTGGAAAGGATTCTACATAGAACCCAAAAGGGTTCTACCTGGAACCAAATGGGTTATATCTGGACCCAAAAAGGGTTCTTCAAAGGGTTCTCTTATGGGGACAGCCGAAGAACCCTTTTAGATTGTAGATAGCACCTTTTTTTCTAAGAGTGTACTCTACAGCATTTCAGTTAGATGCTGATTTGGCCATACCATTTAGGTTTTCTCAGTTTGATTTGAGCTTATCTCCCTCCTTCCCTCTGACATCATCCTCTCTCTCTCTCTCTCTCTCTCTCTCTCTCTCTCTCTCTCTCTCTCTCTCTCTCTCTCTCTCTCTCTCTCTCTCTCTCTCTCTCTCCTCTCTCTCTCTCGTCTCTCTCTCTCTCTCCTCTCTCTCTCTCTCTCTCTCTCTCTCTCTCAGGTCATTCCAAACTACTCCTCCAGAGAGCAGTATGAGAAAATGTTTGCTTTGGGTGTATCAATGTAAGTAACAAATGTAACCCAGTAATTAATTTGTTTCGTTTTTTAACCCATTCATAGTTTTTTTAACCCCCAAAATATTTTTTGTTTATGTTTTCCTAGGTATGGTCAGATGACCGCTGGTAGCTACTGCTACATTGGGCCTCAGGGCATTGTCCATGGCACCATGGTACGTCCTCACAGTCAACAGTAGAGGGCACTATCCCCTTTGAAACTCACATTGATGTTGTCTTAACAATGTGTCTGTCTCTCTTTCCTCTCCTTCCTGTCTCGCTCTCTCTCCCTCCTTCTGTAGCTGACAGTGTTGAATGCAGGGCGGAGGTATCTGGGGTCTGATGACCTGAGGGGCCGGGTGTTTGTGACATCGGGGCTGGGGGGCATGAGCGGGGCACAGGCCAAGGCTGCTGTCATCGCTGGCTGTGTGGGGGTCATTGCCGAGGTCAGTGTGTTTACTTTGTTATTGGCCAATAACATCCTCCCTGCAGTACATTTTTGTGAGGTACCTATGTGATGGTAGCGATGTCTGTTTAGTTTTTGTGTGATGGAGAGCTTTGGGGTGTGTGTTAATGTGATATGTGATTGTGTTTTGCATGGATCCTGTTCAGGTGGATGAGGTGCCCCTGAGAAAGAGACATGAGCAGGGTTGGTTAATGGAGGTCACCAGTGACATAGAACACTGCATCCAACGCATTAGGTAATAGCAGATAAAGACACACACACACACACACAGGGCACACGTCATGACTTTAGCACCTTATGTGCTTAATCAGATCGTCCCTCTGATGTTGTATTCTACAGAGAGGCCAAGAGATCCAAGACTCCTCTCAGCTTGGGTTACCATGGCAACATTGTGGACTTATGGTAAGTGTAGAATGTCAACCAAGGGCTGGACTTAAGTAGTACCATGTAGTAGTACCATGTACTACTACTCTATACCTCAGTCACTATTAGTGTAAATACCTTTGGGATCCCTTGTTTCCCTCTCTGACAGGGAGCGTCTGTTGACAGAGTATGAGAGGACAGGAGAGCTGCTGGTGGACCTGGGCTCAGACCAGACCTCCCTCCACAACCCCTTCAGCGGAGGGTACTACCCAGCTCAGCTCAGCCTCCACCAGGCCAAACAGCTTATGGCTACAGACCCAGCACGCTTCAAAACCATGGTCCATGAGAGGTTAGAGCTTGATGCTGTACCTTTTTTGAAGGCAGTTGGTCTAATTCAGGGTTCTCCTCCAACTCTGGTCCTGCAGAGCTACTGGGTATGCCGGCTATGGTTCCATCCCAGTCACACATCACACAACTGATTCAGCAAATCATCTATTCATCAAGAACGACCATGATTGAGTTGGAGACCCCTGATCTGATTGTGGTTAAGGTTGAGGGGGTTGTTCTCTAACCTGTGGTGATCTTCCCATCCTCTCCCCCAGCCTCTGTAGACAGGTAGCTGCCATCAACAAGCTATCTGAGGCAGGGATGTTCTTCTGGGACTATGGCAACGCCTTCCTCCTGGAGGCCCAGAGAGCAGGTGAGTCCTACAGTTAAACCACCACCACCACGACACTGAGTCACTGACACAGGGTCAGATATTATATCACCCCCCTAATGGTTAAGATTAGGATTGGGAGTAGGGTAATGTGATCCAAGATCTGTGGTTAATGCTAAGGGAAAACGTTAAGGTCCCGATACACATGCTGAAGTATAGACTGATCACAGCATGTCTAGTGATGTCAGCAGAGTCATCTCCAGTTTGATAACATCTAGGTTTGTGTTCATCTCTCTTTCTTCAGGAGCGGAGGTAGAGAAGGAGGGAGGCGGAGCGACAGAGTTCCGCTACCCGTCCTACGTCCAACACATCATGGGGTGAGTGACAGGGTGGGTTTTCTGATCAGGTCACATTATCAGGTCAAACTCCTGGCCCTAACCCTTGACCCCTCCCCTCTGCAGAGACATCTTTTCCCTGGGCTTCGGACCGTTCCGCTGGGTCTGCACCTCTGGTGACCCCTGTGACCTGGCACTGACTGATGACATCGCCGCCACAGTCCTGGAGGAGATCAGCGCCAATGTGACTGAGCGTGTGCGACAGCAGTATAACGATAACATCCGCTGGATCCGTGAGGCGGGAAAACACAGCATGGTACTAATTAATATGACACATATAGGACACAATGTTAACCATTAACATCCCCATTCTAGATAAATAAGAAATGTATTATACAACTGCCAATGCTATTTCTGAATGTTCTCTGTGTGTAGGTGGTGGGCTCCCAAGCCAGAATCCTCTACTCAGACCAGAAAGGCCGTGTGTGTATTGCCTTGGCCATCAATCAAGCTATTGCAGATGGGAGAGTTTCGGTAAGTCTTAGTTACCCATCTCTATGTTATGGTTGTTTGTATGTTTATATAAAGTTAGATGTTTCTGTTGTAGTGTCCAGTCAGTGGGTAGGTAAATCTATGATGATAGAGTGTGTGTGTGTGTGGTGCATGTGTGTGTGAGAGAGACTGTGTGAGAGTGTGTGTGTGTGTGTGTTCACCACTTAGCCTACCCTCTCCTCCAGGTCCCGGAGACCAGCAGGAAGCTAGCAGTAGGCAAATAGACCCACTGACACTGTGTGTGTTTTTTGTCCAGGCTCCTGTGGTCATCAGTAGAGACCACCATGACGTCAGTGGAACAGACAGTCCCTTCAGAGAGACCTCCAACGTGTACGACGGCTCTGCCTTCTGTGCAGGTACACTAGAGCACACTCATCATTTGGACAGACATTATTAGTCAGTATGTTAGTCTAGATGGCTAGAAATCATCCACTTTGACTGAACTCATGTATGTGAAAGTGTGACTTTGTCACTGTGTGCCTGTCTTGCCCCCTGACAGACATGGCGGTCCAGAACTTTGTAGGTGATGCATTCAGAGGGGCCACCTGGGTGTCCCTGCACAACGGTGGAGGGGTCGGCTGGTAAGATCTGAGTTTCACCCTTCAAACTAGGGATGGGAAGGATGGATGGAAGAAAGAGGGATAGGATAGCACACAAAAATCAATGAGACCAAAACTTATGAGACAATTACTAACTAGGAAACATTGTGCCCCTGATAACCAAAATGTTGGAGTCTTCCTCATGGATGGACAATCTTTCAACGTCTTTGTTTCTCCCCGAAGGTCAAATACAGTTACCTAATCTGAACATGGAACCACAGTTTAGAGCCCCAGTCATGTCCCCTCCTCCCCTCAGTCAGACTGTGTTCTCTGTCTCTTGTCTCTCTCCAGGGGTGAGGTGATGAACGGAGGGTTTGGTCTGCTCCTGGACGGGACGGAGGAGGCAGCAAAGAGAGCCAGTCTGATGCTCAACTGGGACGTCTCTAACGGGGTGAGAGAAGGGCGATGATGGGTACTGGAGGGGGAAGCTGTCTTGGAATGTATTCTTAAATACTGTTAATATAATTATTACGACAGAATAGGTTGAAAGGGTGCATGTAATATCAATTCCATTGTGTGACAGATCCTATTAACAAAGGATTAATGTTATATACTTGAGTGACATACAGTGCATTCGAAAGTATTCAGACCCCTTGACTTTTTCCACATTTTGTTAAGTTACAGCCTTCTTCTAAAATCAATTAAATTAAATAAAAATCCTCATCAATCTACACACAATACCCCATAATGACGAAGTGAAAATAGTTTTTTTTAAATTCACAACAGAAATACCTTATTTACATAAGTATTCAAACCCTTTGCTATGAGACTCGAAATTGAGCTCAGGTGCATCCTGTTTCCAATGATCATCCTTGATGTTTCTACAACTGGATTGGAGTCCACCTGTGGTAAATTCAATTGATTGGACATGATTTGGAAAGGCACACTTTCTATAAGGTCCCACAGTTGACAGTGCATGTCAGAGCAAAAACCAAGCCATGATGTCGAAGGAATTGTCCGTAGAGCTCCGAGACAGGATTGTGTCGAGGCACAGATCTGGGGAAGGGTACCAAAAAATGTCTGCAGCATTTGGTATTTGGTATTTTATTAGGATCACCATTAGCTGTTGCAAAAGCAGCAGCTACTCTTCCTGGGGTCCACACAAAACATGAACCATGACATAATACAGAACATTAATAGACAAGAACAGCTCAAGGACAGAACTACATTTAAAAAAAATTCAAGGCACATGTAGCCTACATATCAATACATACACACAAACTATCTAGGTCAAATAGGGGAGAGGCGTTGTGCTGTGAAGTGTTGCTTTATCTCTTTTTAAAAACCAGGTTTGCTGTTTATTTGAGCAATATGAGATGGAACGGAGTTCCATGCAATATTGGCTTTATATAATACTGGACGCTTTGTTGAATTTGTTCTGGATTTGGGGACTGTGAAAAGACCCCTGGTGGCATGTCTGGTGGGTTAAGTGTGTGTGTCAGAGCTGTGTATAAGCTGACTATGCAATCAATTTGGGATTTTCAACACTTTAATGTTTCTTATAAAAAGAAGTGATGCAGTCAGTCTCTCCTCAACTCTTAGCCAAGAGAGACTGGCATGCATAGTATTTATATCAGCCCTCTGATTACAATGAAGTGCAAGACGTGCTGCTCTGTTTTGGGCCAGCTGCAGCTTAACTAGGTCTTTCCTTGCAGCACTGGACCACACGACTGGACAATAATCAAGATTAGACAAAACTATAGCCTGCAGAACTTGCTTTTTGAAATGTGGTGTCAAAAAAGCAGAGCATCTCTTTATTACGGACATACCTCTCCCCATCTTTACAACCATTGAATCTATATGTTTTGACCATGATAGTTTACAATCTAAGATAACGCCAAGTAATTTAGTCTCCTCAACTTGTTCAACAGCCACACCATTCATTACCAGATTCAGCTGAGGTCTAGAACTTAGGGAATGATTTGTACCAAATACAATGCTCTTAGTTTTAGAGATGTTCAGGACCAGTCTATTAGTGGCCACCCATTCCAAAACACACTGCAACTCTTTTTTAAGGGTTTCAGTGACTTCATTAGCTGTGTTTGCAGATGCGTATGTGATTGAATCATCAGCATACATGGACACACATGCTTTGTTTAATGCCAGTGGCAGGTCATTGGTAAACATATAAAAGAGTAGAGGGCCTAGAGAGCTGCCCTGTGGTACACCACACTTTACATGTTTGACATTAGAGAAGCTTCCATTAAAGAAAACCCTTTGAGTTATATTAGATAGATAGCTCTGAATCCACGATATGGCAGAGGTTGAAAAGCCATAACACATACGTTTTTTTCAACAACAGGTTATGGTCAATAATATCAAAGGCTGCACTGAAATCTAACAGTGCAGCTCCCACAATCTTCTTATTATCAATTTCTTTCAACCATTCATCAGTCATTTGTTTCAGCGCAGCGCATGTTGAGTGCCCTTCCCTATAAGCATGCTGAAAGTCTGTTGTTAATTTGTTTACAGAGAAATAGCATTGTATTTGGTCAAACACTATTTTTTCCAACAGTTTGCTAAGAGCTGGCAACAAGCTTATAGGTCTGCTGTTAGAACCAGTAAAGGATGCTTTACCATTCTTGGGTAGCGGAATGACTTTGGCTTGCCTCCAGGCCTGAGGACAAAGACTTTCCTCTAGGCTCAGATTAAACATATGACAGATAGGAGTGGCTATAGAGTCAGCTACCATCCTCAGTAGCTTTCCATCTAAGTTGTCAATGCCAGGAGGTTTGCCATTATTGATCGATAACAATAATTTTTCCACCTCTCCCACACTAACTTTACAAAATTCTAACTTGCAATGCTTTTCTTTCATTATTTGTTTTTTTATGCATGAATACGATGGCTCACTGTTCATTGTTGGCATTTCCTGCCTAAGTTTGCCCACTTTGCCAATTAAGTAATCATTACAATAATTGGCAACATCAAATGGTTTTGTGATGAATAAGCCATCTGATTCGATGAAAGATGGAGTTGAATGTCTTTCTGCCCATAATTTCATTTAAAGTACTCCAAAGTTTTTTTCCATCATTCTTTATATCATTGATCTTGGCTTCATAATACAGTTTCTTCTTCTTTTTTTTAGGTTAGTCACATAATTTCTCAATTTACAGTAAGTCAACCAGTCAGATGTGCAGCCAGACTTATTAGCCACTCCTTTTGCCCCATCTCTTTCAACCATACAGTTTTTCAATTCCTCATCAATCCATGGAGCCTTAACAGTTCTAACAGTCAGTTTCCTAACAGGTGCATGTTTCTCAATAATTGGAAGAAGCAATTTCATAAATTCATCAAGTGCTGCGTCTGGATGCTCCTTATTAATCACATCAGACCAACAAATATGTTTTACATCATCCACATATGAGTCACAGCAAAATCTTTTGTATGATCTCTTATACACTATTTTAGGCCCAACTGTTGGAACTTTGGCTTTCCTGGATATAGCCACTATATTGTGATCACTGCATCCAATGGGTACGGATACAGCTTTAGAACAAAGTTCTACAGTATTAGTAAAAATGGGATCGATACATGTGGATGATCTTGTTCCTGTAGTGTTTGTAAACACCCTGGTAGGTTGATTAATAACCTGAACCAGATTACAGGCACTGGTTACAGTAAGAAGCTTCCCCTTGAGTGGACAGCTTGATGAAAACCAGTCAATATTCAGGTTCCCAAGAAAGTAGACCTCTCTGTTTACATCACATACATTATCAAGCATTTCACTCATGTTATTTAGATAGTGACTGTTCGCACTTGGTGGCCTATAGCAACACCCCAAAATAAAATCCTTTAGATGTGGCAAGTGAACCTGGAACCACAACACTTCAATAACACTTCTCTAAGCATTACAGGGATATGGCTCTGAATATATACAGCAACACCTCCCCTATAAGCATTTCTGTTTCTTCTATAGATGTCATATTCTTGTATTGCTACTGTTGTATCATCAAATGAATTATCTAAGTGAGTCTCAGAAATGGCTAATATATGAATGAACTCTGATGTTAGCAAGTTATTGATTTCATGAACCTTATTTCTAAGGCTACATATATTAATATGGGCTATTTTCAGCCCTTTCCTGGGTAGCTTATCAGAGATAGACATAATACTGAAAAGAGCAAACAAAGCAAGAGAAAACAATATACATTCAGCAGTCCATTAATCAATTGGTGTGTGTGTGTCCTGCTGGGTTGAAGCTACGAACCCATAGGCTTGGCTCTCTCCAGGCTTCTGGGAGGGATGGTGGACAATGAGCCTGTCATAGCGGATGTAAGCAATGTCCCCACGCGCTCTGGCAGCTTTCATCGCTGGGATAAGTTCTTTCCTCTTCTGGCGCACAGCTTCAGGATTGTCCTTGTTGAGAAAGATATACGTTACCCTCACGTTCTTGGCTCTTTCCAGAACAGCTACCTTGTCCTTGAACCTCAGGAACTTGACCACTATCGGCCTGGGCGTGTCACCTGGGCCGGTGGTGGGTTTTCCACTCCTGTGGGTGCGCTCCACCTCAATCTTCCTGTGGTCCATCTTCAATTTCTCAGAGATCCTTACCCTCACTTTGTCCTCAGACTACGTCCAGGTCTCATGTGGAGATTCTGCAATTCCATCCACAACCATGATGTTACGCCTTGATTGTCCCTCAAGATAATCTGATGTATCCGTCATTATCATGGATTCACACACAGAACTGATGTCCTCTCTCAATGACTTACAGATTGCTGTAATCTTGCCGTTCTCCTGTTTCAACTCATCGAGCTGACCCTGGGAGAACTGCAAACTGTTCTTTAGGTCCTTGACCTCTTCGTTCAGGTCGTCCATTCTTTTTTTAGTAGAATCCACTAGTATTTGGACAAAGCAATTGAAGCTATTTTCTTGTTGTTGTAACAACTGCTTGTAGAACTATTTTTCTTCATTTAAAAGATCCTTCACGTGATAGAGAGACACCACTGAATGCCAAGTGTCACGTCTGGAGGAAACCTGGCACTATCTCTACGGTGAAGCATGGTGGTGGCAGCATGATGCTGTTGGGATATTTTTCAGCGGCAGGGACTGGGAGACTAGTCAGGATCGAGGGAAAGATGAACGGAGCAAAGTACAGAGAGATCCTTGATGAAAATCTGCTCCAGAATGCTCAGGACCTCAGACTGGGGCGAAGGTTCACCTTCCAACAGGACAAAGACCCTAAGCACACAGCCAAGACAACGCAGGAGTGGCTTCGGGACAAGTCTCTGAATGTCCTTGAATGGCCCATCCAGAGCTCTGACTTGAACCCAATCGAACATCTCTGGAGAGACCTGAAAATAGCTGTGCAGCGATGCTCCCCATCCAACCTGACAGAGCTTGAGAGGATCTGCAGAGAAGAATGGGAGAAACTCCCCAAATACAGGTGTGCCAAGCTTGTAGCGTCATACCCAAGAAGACTTGAGGTTGTAATCGCTGCCAAAGGTGCTTCAACAAAGTACTGAGTAAAGGGTCTGAATACTTATGTAAAGGTATTTCTGTTTTTTATTTGTAATAAATTATCAAACATTTGTAGATTGATGAGGGGGGAAAAAACAATTTCATCCATTTTAGAATAAGGCTGTAATGTTAAATTTTTTTTGCAAAAAGTCAAGGGGTCTGAATACTTTCCGAATGCACTGTATAACTCCCTGGCACCTTATCCCTGCAGGTGGCTCGTCGGTGCTGGTCAGGGAACTCCAACGCCTATGAGACCATCCAGCGTACCATGGAGGAGCAGAGGCAGCTTCGAGTCACTATGCCCTACCCTGTGCAGGACGAACATGTGTTAGACAGGGCCCTGCAGGGCTAGACCAGCACACAGCTCAACAACACAACACAGCTAGCTAATGTCAATCAGCTAGTCACAGAGAGTAGCATGATCAAGGATGCACACAGAGTATTCATTGTGTCAATCCACACCACCATCCACCATACCACATTGTCCTGAATTAGCAGCAGAACTAAGATGATCACTTTATCATGTTTGTCATATATATCCAAAAGTCTTATTGCCCATCATCAATTGAAAACAGTGAGTTAACATGGTGTTCTTATATGTACATGTCTTAGTATGAACTATGTGTACTATTTACTTGTAAAAGTCGATAATGAGTCATTTATTAAGGGTTTTTATTTGTAATTTAAACCTTAGAATAAAATGCTAATGTAGGTGAATGATGTTGACATCCTTTTCTCATAATATTGGGACACCAACTTGCACAAAATTGGCATAGGTCTACAACATATACTTTTATCAGAACTTGATGGTAAACAAAAAGATGAGCTGAAGGAAAATATCCAACAGATCCCACTGTCAGATTCCACAGCAATGAGAAGAACTGAAATATTAGCTGAAGATGTGATTTCACAACTTGATGAGGCCATTCAGAATGCACCATGCATTTCATTAGCTGTGGATGAATCAACAGATACCACCGATAATGCCCAGCTTCTGGTATTTGTGAGATTTTATGACGAAACAAAAAAGGAATTCTGTGAGGACCTGTTGGGTTTAACAACTCTTGAAACACACACACGAGGAGAGGACATTCATGAGGCCATCAAAGGGATGCTGACTACACTGTACTCCCGAGTGGCGCAGTGGTCTAAGCTGTGCCACTAGAGATCCTGGTTCGAATCCAGGCTCTGTCGTAGCCGGCCGCGACCGGGAGACCCATGGGGCGGCTCACAATTGGCCCAGAGCCGTCCAGTGTAGGGGAGGGAATGGCCGGCAGGGATGTAGCTCAGTTGGTAGAGCATGGCGTTTGCAACACCAGGGTTGTGGGTTCGATTCCCATGGGGGGCCAGTATGAAAAAATAAAAAAATAATGTATGCACTCACTAACTGTAAGTCGCTCTGGATAAGAGCATCTGCTAAATGACTAAAATGTAAAAAGGGGGATAGATCTGAAGTCGGTGGTCTCCATCACCATAGATGGAGCTCCAGCTATGATAGGAAGAGGGAGGGGACTGGTTGCACATTTGAAAGAGGACCACCCTGACCTGACATCTTACCACTGCATCATCCACCAATCTGCTAAGAGGCTTTCTGACAGAGGTTAATGCCAGCTATGATGACTTACTACTGCACAACAATGTCAGATGGCTCAGCAAAGGCAGGGTTTTGGAGAGCTTTTGGGCCATTCAGGAGGAAATCAAATCTTTCCTATCAGAGCAAAAGAGGGAAAAGACAACTCAGTTTACAGAGTTTTTGGAAGATGAGCTCAATGTTAAGCTGCAGGGACAGAACATTTGATAACAGCAGTCCGGGCTTTCCAGAGGAAATTTGAGATTTTCAAGACTGATCTCCAGGGAGAACTTGTCCACTTCCCAAAACTTTTGGAGCAAACCCAGGGAGAGAAAGATGTGCCCCACCATGATGATTTCATACAGAACCTGATGGATAACTTCAAGGCTCACATTGATGACTTTGCTCTTGGAAGACAACTGCTGCTGTTCATACAGAACCTCTTCTTAGTCACAAATGTCACAAAGTTTTCAGAGGAAGCAAAACAGACCTTCAGATGGGTAAATGTTGCATCACTACAAATTTAGTTGATTGAACTGCAAGAAAATGTGGCCTTGAAATAGCAGGTTGGTGTTTGTGACCCTGTCAGTTTCTGGGGAAAGATTGTGCCTGCAGCTGGTTTCCCTGTTCTAAACAAAATGGCACTACACATCCTGACCATGTTTTGTTCCACATATTGCTGTGAGTCAGCCTTCTCCACAATGAATATTATTAAAACCAAATACCGCACCAGGCTCACCAATGAACACCTGCACCAGTGTCTTAGAATTGCACTCACACCATATTTGCCAACGTTCAAAGTATTGGCAGGAGAATAAAACTGTCATTTCTCTCATTAGTCAATGACGCAAGGCTCAGCGTGACTTGTGCATGCATGGAACACAGTCTGTAATGCAAGGCCCAGCGTGACTTGTGCATGCATGGAACACAGTCTGTGATGCAAGGCCCAGAGTGACTTGTGCATGCATGGAACACAGTCTGTGATGCAAGGCCCAGAGTGACTTGTGCATGCATGGAACACAGTCTGTACACTCAGATGTTATTTTCTATTGGACTCCCCTTTGTTCTCCATAAAATGTGCACTTTAGTTTATTATTAATATTTATTCAATTAAGAAAAACGCAAGGCCCATGTACATTGGCTCAGTGACTTTTTTGCATACAGATTACTATGCAACCACTTTTGTTTTTCAGCAATGTTGTCACAAATGTGAACTTTATTATATTTTTGTAAAGAGAGAAACCATTCATTTTTTAAATACTTTTTGTTGTACTAATTTCTTAAATGTATTTGAAGCAGCATGACAAATAGTAATAGCCTACTTACTACTACAGCACAGCCTGTACAATGCACATTTTCACAGTCAAAATAAAAAAGTTGTTTGTAATTCATTAAAATGTATCTGATTGGTCTCATTTAATGTATTTAATAGTAGTCCTGAAAACATTTCATATAAAACCATGTATACCAAATCATAATATGGACAATGGTATGTTTGTTACTATGCTGTACTAGAGCACCGATAAATGACAATATCTATTCTATCAGGACCTTTCCCACTTAGGAAATGTGTGTGACTGGACCTTCTCAAATTGTATTTGAATACCCCTGGTATAGGGTGTTCACCCATTAAATTATTATTTCATTCAATGCTTGTGAAAATATGTTCATTCAATAGAGAACTCAATCAGAAAAACAATAGTCTAAACTCTATGTCTCTATCATATACAGTGCCTTGCAAAAGTATTCACCCCCCTTGGCGTTTTTCCTATTTTGTTGCATTACAACCTGTAATTTAAATGGATTTGGATTTCATGTAATGGACATACACGAAATAGTCCAAATTGGGGAAGTGAAATGAAAAAAATAACTTGTTTCAAAAAATTCTAAAAAAGAAATAACGCTTGTAGCATCATACACAAGAAGACTCGAGGCTGTAATCGCTGCCAAAGGTGCTTCAACAAAGTACTGAGTAAAGGGTCTGAATACTTATGTAAATGTGATATTTCCTTTTTTTATTTATTTTTATTAGCAAAAATGTCTAAAAACCTGTTTTTGCTTTGTCATTATGGTGTATTGTGTGTAGATTGATGAGGGGAATTTCATCCATTTTAGAATAAGGCTGTAATGTAAAAACAATGTGGAGAAAGTCAAGGGGTCTGAATACTTTCCGAATTAGCTGTATAACTCCCTGGCACCTTATCCCTGCAATGTGGAGAAAGTCAAGGGGTCTGAATACTTTCTGAATGCACTGTATAACTCCCTGGCACCTTATCCCTGCAATGTGGAAAAAGTCAAGGGGTCTGAATACTTTCCGAATGCGCTGTGTGTATATATATATATATATATATATATATATATATCTACCCTCCCCCCAAAAAATCAGTTCCTGTTTTCATTGTGAATTACTGAGTCTTCCCCTTTAAATTGCGATAGAAACAGCCCATCTCAGCATTGATTGAGCGGGGTTAGAGGAATAGAAACCCAGGGAACTGGAGATAAAAATGAGAAGTGTTTCAAGTTGATTGTCATTGGTCCAAAGTGCGGAAACGCCTCCTAATGTTACCACCTCCCAACCCCCGAAATATGGAAGAGATACAACCAAGAGCTGCCCGGTCTTAACTAGCAACGGTCACAACTAACTAACGTTTTTATTTAATCACCTCTGTTAAGTACAAGCATATTAAGGTTGCAATATTGTAGAGAACAATCTAATGATTAATTGTATGTGATTCTTAATGACATTGGCTAAAGAAAACTAGGTTTAAACACGCCCTACAAAGTAGCTAAAAAGTAGTAGTACTTGAAAACTTGCTAATTAGCTCAAATGCTACTCCCAACCTTTGGGTTGCTAGACATTAGGGTTAAGTTTAGGAGTTAGGTTAAATGGTTAAGGGGTTATTAAGGCTGGGGTTAGGGAAAGGGTTATCTAAAAGGGTTAAGGTTAGGGGAAGGGTTAGCTTAAAGGGTTAAGGTTAGGGTTAGCTAACATGCTAAGTAATTTAGATGCAAAGTAGCTAAAAAGTAGTAGCTCAGTTGGTAGAGCATGGCGCTTGCAACGCCAGGGTTGTGGGTTCGTTTCCCATGGGGTGGGCAGTATGAAAATGTATGCACTCACTAACTGTAAGTTGCTCTGGATAAGAGTGTCTGCTAAATGACTAAAATGTAGTAAATACTTGAAAAGTTGCAAATTAGCTAAAATGCTAAAGTTGTCCTTGATGAGATTGCTTGACATTCGCGTTATACCCCCACCCTGACCAATCATCCTACTTTCGTTTTTGCCTTAAGTAACCATCTGTTTTATGTAACAATACCAAACTTACATATCATCCTAATAATTTGAGTGTCCCGGATTTTCATTTGCTATGTTACGTCTAGTCTATGAGACCAGGATGACTCCACTTAACCACTGGTGACAACCCGCGCTCATGGAATACCCACTGCGCAATGCAACAAAAGGTTCCATGGTTACCATGCATAAACATGCACGAGTGGAACCAGCTGCGCTCCCCAACAGTCGACGGCCATGAGAAGTCACCAAAATGTTGAAACCAAAACTGCTGTCGGTCTTTCTCCATTTACAATATAAGTACATTATAGAAGGAAAATATACATCTAAAACCGTTTCATTTCAGTAGGTCTATAATCTCAAAAGCATAAAAATGGATGATTTGGAAATAGACGAACAACTGGTGCGGATTAAAAAGAGAGATTTAGTGCAGACATATTTCTACAAAACGGCAAGCAGAGTGTTCGGTCCCGCTAAAACAAGGGACAGGGTTTTCATCGCGCCACGGATGCCCAAACCGCCCGTGTGCATGCCTAAACCTGCGAGCCAAGTGCCGACAAAAAGTCGACATAGGTCAGTGGCGGTGGCGGCCATGGCATCAGGAGCAGGGGACAGAGACAGTGTTGCTCCAGAGATGCCTTTGGATTTTAATGACGCCAAGCACCAAGACTGGGTTAACCAAAGGAGGTCCTTTCGTCAAGAGTTCGATAGTTTCTGAGATTTGTCGAAGTGGGTTAAGAGTAAGCCGACGGTGACCGAGCTGGAGATGTTGGTTGTGGAGAGAGAGAAAAAGATTCAGAGAACTCCCTCACTTGTCCCGCGTGTTACTTTGACACCCTTTTAGGCTTATAAGGTAAATCACCAATGAGTGATGCTGCCATGGCTCATAGACCCCATTATATAAAGTATATGAATCACTGTTCTCTGTCTCTTCTCCAGTCCAGAACACGTGCCAGCCTGACCCATCCTTCTCGACGGGCTTATGTACCTCGTGCACACGCAGTCTGGTCAACACAGCGCGAGGTAAACAGGTACCTCTGCACTCATGATCTCAGACTCTCTGAAGTGGCCAAATGGCTTGACAAACATGGCAAGCCATGCATCAGTCAGAATGACCCCCTAGCTGTGTTTGAGAAGGTAGTGATCCTATCAATAATATCATGGCAATCATTATCTGACTGAGTGTAGGCCTATGTGTGTTTATTAACATCGATGCAACCCCATCAGGAGGGCATCCCTGTGGTGCCAGAGCGTCTGGATGACCTGGTGTCCAGTCCAAGCAGCATGGAGGGGGGCACAGTGACAGTGAAGGATCTGGCGGAGGGCATCAAGTCCTGGAGCCAGGAGAGGGAGAGGGAAGAGAGGGCCAGCTGGGGCCACAGGAGCCTGCCATAGAGAGGGGAGCTAGGACCACCCCTGGAGCTGGAGAAGGGGGGCAACAGGGACATAGAGCGAGTGAGGGGCAGGGAGCAGCAGGCCCTGAGCCCCCTAGGTTAGTAAAGATGGAGACATGATCTTCTCAGCTCATCACCCAAAGAGCATTGTGTAGCATTGTGTTAGGTTGTATGATGTGATTGAATGGCTACAAATACAGTGCTAGAAATACCTGCCATTGTCTCCCCCCTCCTCTCCTCTGCAGTCCTATCCTCCCCTCCACTCTCCTCTCCCCTCCCTCCCCTCCTCTCAGCGCGGAGGCCAATGTGGAGCCGTGGTCTCAAGCAGGGGTTGGGGAGACATGGTGCTCAGCTCCTGTCCCTCCCCAGCCCTGAGCTGTGTCTGCAGACTCCCCTGTCTCCGGAGGAGCAGCAGGATCAAGCCTTCATCCAGCAGCACCGCCGCAACAGAATCAAGGTGAGGGCAGGACCATTACAATCAAATCCAACAGAGGCTCCTACGGCCACTCTCTCTTTCCATTGGCCCTATCATGACCTAACCTCTGCCCTCTAACCTTGTCGGCACTAGGGCATGCAGGATAAGGAGGTGCTGGCCATCATGAGGACGGTGTGTATAGGGAACCCCACCCAGGACACCCACTCCCACCCGTCCTCTCTGGGAGGAGACACGGCCCGAGCGGTGGACAGGTTCAGGAGACAGTGTCTGGGGGAGTACCTGGACTCACTGGACCAGTGTCACACAAAGCGGGTCACAGTCAACCAGGCCACACTGGAGAGAGGTGAGAACCATAGGAAAACACACACACACATACAGAAAATATACTCACACACACAGTACAGTACACAAACACACAAGAAAACACCTTGAGGTAGGCATTAGGTAAAGCACACACATATACCCCTTTGGCTATACACACCCAAACAATTCCAGATGATGTTGACCCTTTTTCTATTCTAATCACATAACCTCATGTCACACAAGTACCCTTCATTACTGAGTAATAGCACTTTAAAGACCTTGATTGCACTTAAAAGCACCAGTAATAGCACTTTAAAGCACCAGCCATAGTGCTGGAGTATGCTGTCCAGCACTAAATCTATCTGTGTGTGTATGTCCATGCATGCGTGTGTGTGTCCTACTCCTCCTCAGTTCTGCTGCATCCAGGGGACCATGTCTTGGGGGGTCCGAAGTGTCCCGTGCTGAGGCAGGCAGGGTCCAACGCTGTGCCGGGGCGTGGTGGCCGTCTGAGGGCCTGGATCTGCTACAGCAGTAGTACCCCCCGGGGGGTCGAGGAGAAGGAGGAAGAGGAGCATGGCCTGGAGAAAGAGACCACTCCACACAAAGTCCACAAGGAGACGTGAGTGTTGGTGTCATCAACCGCAGATAGATTATCAAATTGACCACACAGTAACAGTCACATCAGGCAGAGAATAGAGATATATGTTTGTATTATACCATATGCAGTTCTGACAGTGAGGGAGAAGTCTACAGCTCTGATATTACCTGTTATGTTTTCTGCCTCCTCCCCCAGGGCTCTGTACCCCTCCCGTAGGTCTGTGCGTCGGAGGTCCAAGATGATGACTCTGTCCACAGGTCGTGCTGAGGTCAGACACAAGACAGAATGCTGGCTGACCAGGGAGGAGTACGCCCACATTAAAAGGTGAGGAGGAAGTGACATCAGTGTTATTATGGCAAGCCGCCACACTAATAGTAGCCACAGCAACAACAATGTGTATTGTTTTACATGTGTAATGTGTATGTGCTGTTTGTTTGGAGCAACATGAGGGAGCCGTCCAGCCGTAGAGCCAACCCTAACTCATTCTGGCCTGGTCAGGACAACCACGTAAGACTGTACCTGCCCAGAGTGGGCCTGTCTCCTGAGGGGGTCCTCTTTGAGCACATCGTCCACTCCCCCGCCCCCAGCCCCGGCAACTGGCCTGTCAACGACAGGGGCTACTCCACCTCTGAAGATATAGATGGACTCAAGGCCTACACCCTATAGAGCTCTCTACTCTATGCTCCAGATATAATATTGTACTTGCATGGGGTAGTTCAAATACTTTTTTGCTGTTGGAATATGGTTACAGTCCAAGGGTCTCCTCTTCAGTTCACTGGGCTATTGTCGATTGACATTATTTTATCTGTGAAGGTAATAAAGACTACCACTGACTGACCAGCATTTTTGTCCTTTTCAACTTTTTGTTTAAATTTAAGGATAAGAATTGGATGTTAGTGATTGGTTAGTAATACCTGACGAGTTCCTATAAACAGAGATCCGTATATAATGACGAGATGCTCATGTCTCTGCCCTAACAATGGGAATAGTTGTCCCAACGGCGGGAAAACAGGCGACAAGTTTAGGTCCAAAATAAGCCCATAGAAACGCATTGGGTTTATTTTGGAAAGATTTTGGCGAGAGTGAAACCTCTCGCTTCGCCTCTTCCTGTTTGTTACAAACTGTCAGCGCTTCTTTACGCGTGGCGGCTCCTTTAAAATAAACGCAGTGTGAATGAATTTGAGCGGTGCTGCGCTGACGTAAGGGATTTGGAGAGTTTGGTTTAGCCCCAGAGGGTACAGGAGAGGAGAATAACGAAGAGAATAAGGACTGTTATCCTGGTTTTATTTGGTTTTTATATGGTTTTGCAGGAAATGTTCTGCGCATTTTGATTAACTAAACTAGACATCCGGTACAGATGTATTTGCTGGGGTACAATGACCTGTGTCCCATTTATTTTGATACAACATAATATTTTACATAATCGATTGTAAACTATACCACAAATTAGAATGTCCTTTAGAGTGAAGTTCAAAATGCTTCATAGAACTATACAATCTGAAAACGTATTATTCTGTCAATGTGCCAATATTATTGTATATAGTAGCTATTCCTCGGAAAAAATAAGACTACTGAGGATTAATTCGCCTATTTTCGCGCCATAATCTAAAGTAAAATCGAAGGACGACGAAGGAATCTGAAAAAAATCTAATTTAGTCTCAGAGAGAGGGAGGGGGAGTGAGGCTGCGGCCGGACATTGGACGGGAGGGGAAGAGGGACATATTCCCCAGGACACCACTGCCTCTTCTTGCACTCTCTGTTCCTCTGGAGAGCACGGAGGGGGACTTGAACGGAAAGAGACAAAGCATGCAACATAATGGTAATGGGGAGGAGAGGCAGTCGGCGAACCAATCCGAATCTCAGCTCCAGGGGACGACTGGTTTCAGCGGACCACACATCCCAGGCAATGACACCCTAAGCAGTCCCACACTCTTCCAACTGCCCGCTCATTCCCAACTGGAGTTCAAACGCAACGCAGTCACAGAGGACTACAAAATAACAACTCAAGTACTAGGACTGGGTATGAACGGGAAAGTGCTGGAATGCTACTGCAAGAAGACAGGGGATAAATGTGCGCTCAAGGTGTGTGTGTGTGTGTGATAGAGAGAGAGAGAGAGAGAGAGAGAGAGAGAGAGAGAGAGAGAGAGAGAGAGAGAGAGACCATCGGTCATCAGACCCAAGTGGCACCAAGTATTTTAGGTCTTGCTTGCTTTCTTTCCTTACATACTGATGTAAATGACAGGGCACTTGAGGATATCTTTGCAGTGCTGATGGTAAGGGGTAGAATAGTAATCAATTATTCACTATTCCTCCATCTCAGACAGTCTCCAGCTCAGTCTCTTGCATATTTCTTAATTGTTTGATAGTACCAATGGAACCACTCCTTTATTTGGAATCACATCCTTTGTCTGATTTCGGTTGGGGTTGTATGAAGGACATACGCCCACCTTGGATATAATGCTAAAAACATACGCTTGCCAGTCACATCCTCAATAATTTACATACATGGGCGTCGGTGTACATGCTTGCAGTATACCATGTCTGATGTGCAGAAGTTGACATTTGTGCAGGGAAGTTACTGTCACCTGAGTCTCGCCTACTTCCTGCCTCTGATATATTTACTGTATCAACAAACAAGGCGAAGTGTACAGAGTCTTTCTAAACCTGCAAAGTCAGTTAGTTAGCATGTCCACCAGTCACCAGGAGTTTTCTTAAAAAACTGGAAAAAGTGCAACCACAAAAAACAAGAACTGAAACCCCATGAGCCTCTTGGTATGTTTTCATTGGATCAGTCTCAATCTCCAAAATAGTTCCAATTTTTTTTTTTCCAGGGACACCAAAGATAGATGGATGAAATGTGATGATGAGGAGGATCAGTTATACTGGCGCATGTGAATACATGCTTATGTTCTGTTCTGTCAGTGTTTGTGTTATGGACAATGTTTAGGCTGAGTATTAGGTTCCTCCTCTATAAACAGTTTAATCTCAACCTGCCCTCTCCTTCCTGTCCCACAATGCACTGGTTCCTGTCATAGACAGAGGAGAGGCTAGTTTCTCTGACTGTGGTGTCTGGGGATATGGGATCCCTTCCAACCTTACATCCAATCCCTTTGCAAGGTTGTTATTATCGGTACATTTTGAATGCACTCAAAGTTCTGCATGGAATCCTCCTGCCAAGTAAATTACAGTTTTTATCAATTACTTTGGTGCAATTTTAACAAGTATGTCTTACATATTCAAAACTCTAAGCACAAAAATCTAAACAGATCATCAAAATGGCTCATGTTTCAAAATTCAAAGCACATTTCCAATATACTGAGTACAACAAATACCCATGGGACCTATGATTTCTTAATCCGGCCCTGTATGTGCTACCATTTGGAATTATACTGTAGTGTAGTGTACAATGCACTACTGAAATACCTGGGTTGTACTGTATATAACAATATATTCCACTCATGATCTGAATTTCAATTATACACTGTAAGCTGATAGATTTCAAGCAGAGAGACAGGCGATACTGTATCAGTTGACAAGTCACGTAGAAAAGGTGATCTTGTACAATGTTGAATGGGGCAGAAATGGAATACAACACCGTGCTCCTTTTTTACAATAGCCAACTGCTTTAAAATACCTCTATTTCTTACAATTTGTCCTACATATGTACTCTCTAAGGATAATGAAACTGTAAGAATGACATACTTCTCAACATTACCCACAACCTGCCATTGGATACACATTATAAAAAGAATTGTGCTTGTCAAGTTACATTATTATCAAATGAAAAATGATATTTACCATCTACTATTCTTTCTATTCAGCACTACGAAAAGAACAGTTTTGAAATGTGTATATTACATTTTTTGCTATTGGAATAAAGGGTAGTTAAAAATGACTAAATGGTAAGCCTGATCTGATGTATTGGTAAACAAAATGTTCTCATGATATTTTATGGAAAACTTAGATTTTGCATGACTGACTCAGGGACGAAAGATGTGTGAAACCCCAATGAATGCAAAATCAAAGGTTCTGAACATAAAATAAGCGGCATTACAAGTGTTATCAGTTTAGAGTTTTGTACTTAGAGTTTAGAAAATATACCACTTACATCTGAAAAATTTGCCAAATTGATTGAACAAAAACTGTAATATGAATGAATGGTCCGGATTGTATTTCGGATGATGGAATCACTGATGTGAGAGTATGGAGAGACTGTGTACGGGTGTGTGTGTGTAAGAGTGAGAGAGAGCAAGAGTGAAAGAGTGAGAGAAAGAGAGGTGAGAGAGCGAGAGAGAGAGAGAGCTGTGGGACTAAGATTGGTCACAGGGCTTTTAACCTGATTGAAGCTGTTATTATGCCCTTGATCAATTCCTCCAAGACCTGTGAGTGGCTATAGACAACATGGACACATGCACACAAAAACACACTCACAGCACATACATGTTGTATAGATACACACTCACGTTCCAATACAGATACATGCTGCACCCATCATCATAACTTGTCATTGTAAATACTGTATGCTTCTGAAACCTGCACATTATTCTCTCCCCTTCTTTCTCTGTGTTTCTATCCCCACCTTCCTCTGTGGGGGCAGATTCTGTATGATAGTCCTAAGGCGCGGCGGGAGGTGGAGCTTCATTGGAGAGTGTCGGGGGGTCCATACATCGTTCGCATCCTCAGCCTGTATGAGAACATGCACCAGGGGAAGAAATGCCTGGTTATCATCATGGAGTGGTAAGGACCACACAGACTACATAAACCAGAATGCATTGTGTATGATGCATGTCTTCTCTCTTAGCTTATCTAGCATGTCTCTAGACTTTAAAAACATTGCTAATGAGTAGGGCCAGGAGTTTTTCCTGGTCAGGTCGCGTGGTCAGAAAAAAACTCCTGGCCCTAATGAAAGTCTACACAAACATCAAATTATGTTCCCGCTCTCCTCCTTGGTCATTGTGTTTGGGCTCTGTAGATTGGGCTCAGTAATTAACTAGTAACTACTAAGGGACAATGCTTGCCTTGTTTAGTGGAATAGCTTTGTTGTCTTGTTGAGAAGCTCTGATCTGTGTCTCTTGTTTTTCTTCCTGTCTCAGTATGGAGGGAGGGGAGCTATTCAGTCGCATTCAGGCCAGAGGGGACCAGGCGTTCACAGAGAGAGGTGAGTTATGACGGGGAACTGTGTTGTGTCATTTACAGTGCTCTGTGATTTACGGTGCCCCGTATGCTCTATGTTAATCAGATTTATGTCATGGCTTTTAATCAGAGGCTTCAGAGATCATGAGGGACATAGGCGTGGCAATCGAGTACCTCCACCACAAGGACATAGCTCACAGAGATGTCAAGGTGGGACTATACTCCTAGACACACATCACTCACAGACATGTACACTCCTGTATCTCTTTCATCTGACACTCGCTGACAGATGTCTTTACCGCTGGTGGTTTTAGTGATGATGTACTTATTGCTTTCGTCTTTTTTACACCCCCCTCCACACACACACACAAACACACAACAGCCTGAAAATCTGCTCTACACCACCAAGGAGAGCAATGGTGTGCTGAAACTGACTGACTTTGGCTTTGCCAAGGAGACCACCCTCCACAACTCCCTCCAGACACCCTGTTACACCCCTTACTATGTTGGTGAGTGGTTGGGTCTGTTACACAAGTAGTGGTATAGTATACTATTTAGATGTGACTATAGGCTATAACGTTTTATGGTTTACTTTTCCCCACATATTGTCCCTGTCTCTGCCTGTCTGTCTGCCTGACTAGTTGTCTCTTGGTCTCTATTTATGTCTGTGTGTCTGTCTGTCCATCAGCCCCCGAGGTGCTCGGTCCAGAGAAGTATGACAAGTCATGTGACATGTGGTCTCTGGGCGTGATCATGTACATCCTGTGAGTACCTAGTGTGTCTTTGTGCTATAAGTGTGTATGTGAGAATCAAGTCACAGGCTTCTTATTCACTCTCACTCTGCCTACTGTTCCCTCCTGGGCCTCATTCCTACTCTCCCTTTTCTGCACTTCCTGGTTCTCCTCTCCCTCTCTTTCAACACTCGGCTCCTCATGGTCCACCACTTGCTTTCTGAATGAATGAATGAATGACTGTTAAATGACTGTTAAATTGCTGTTGAATGAGTGTCCAGTTGTAGTGCATACAGTAGCTGTAGTTGCTCTATACTCATGGTAAAGTATATAGAGTATCCCCAGGCTGTGTGGGTTCCCTCCGTTCAACTCTAACACGGGCCAGGCCATCTCCCCAGGGATGAAGCAGAGGATCAGGATGGGCCAGTACAACTTCCCTAACCCTGAGTGGGCTGAAGTGTCGGAGGAAGGTCAGACTAGAGACAATTGAATACTGTGGGTTTGAATGGCCTATACTAGAGGTAGAGGCTTCACTGCAATACAAACTATGTTCTGCTAATTTCAAAATATTTTGGACGGATTCGTCTACGGTTGTGATTTGTAGGTCCTTTGACAAACATCTTGTCTAGTTTACCTGATGTTCATGTTTTATTTGATATGCTTGTTGACCTTTGACCATACCCTCTGTAGCCAAACAGCTGATCAACCAGCTGCTGAAGACAGACCCAAACGAGAGGATGACCATCGGGCAGTTCATGAACCACCCTTGGATCAATGTGAGTATTACTACTGCATGTCTGAGAACACTGTCTGAGTGCGTTGGATAATATGAGACTCTCATTCACACTGTGTGTGTGTGTGTGTTTGTTGACATTACAGCAGTCGATGGTGGTTCCTCCGACTCCTCTGCACACATCCCGTGTTCTGACAGAGGACAGAGATCTGTGGGACAATGTCAAGGTGAGACTAGAGAGCTGTAAAACACTGACACTGTGGTATGAAAAAATGAACCACTAGATGGTGCTAAAACAGTAGATTTGTAAGATCCATACTGCAACTATCTACAGTGCCTTTAGAAAATTCTCAAACCCCTTGACATATTCCAAATGTAATTCATTTTGTTGTGTTACTGCCTGAATTCAAAATTGATTCAATACCCCATAATGACAAAGTGAAAACATGTTTTTAGAAACATTTGGCAAATATATTGAAAATGAAATACAGAAATACCTAATTTACATAGGTATTCACACATCTTTTCTATGACACTCAAAATTGAGCTCAGGTGCATCCAATTTCCTTTGATCATCCTTGAGATGTCGCTACAACTTGATTGGAGTCCACCTGTGGCCAATTGTTTGGACATGATTTAGAAAGAAACCCATCTGTCTATATAAGGTCCCACAGAAACTATATTATGAAGTCCAAGGAACTGTCTGTAGATCTCCGAGATATAATTGTGATGAGGCATATATCTGGGGAAGGGTATAAAACAATTTCTAGAGTGTTGAATGTTTCTGGTCTCCATCATTGGGAAATAGAAAAAACATGGAACTACCAAGACTCTGCCTAGAGCTGGCTGTCTGACCAAACTGAGTAACCAGGCAAGAAGGACCTTGGTTAAGGAGGTGACCAAGAACCCAATGACCACTCTGACAGAACTACAGAGTCCCTTGGCTGAGATGGGAGTACCTGCCAGAAGGACAACAGTCTCTACAGCACTTCACCAATCTGGGATTTATGGGAGAGGGGCCAGACGGAAGCCACTCCTGAGAAAAAGGCACATGACAGCACGCCTGGAGCATGGTGGTGGCAGCATCATAATATGGGGATGCTTTTCAGCGGCAGGGAGAAAAGTAAGAATAGAGGGAACAATGAATGGAGCCAAGTACAGGCAAATCCTTGATGAGAACCTGCTTCATAGTACAAACGATCTTAGATTGGGGTGAAGATTTACGTTCCAACAGGACAATGACCCCAAGCATACAGCCAAAGCAACGCTGGAATGGCTTCAGAACAAGAATGGGAAAGTCATTGAGTGGCCCAGCCAAAGCCTAGACTTGAATCCCATTGAAAATCTGTGGAAAGACTTGAATATTGCTGTTTGCCGCTCCCTATCTAACTTAACAGAGCTTGAGAAAATCTGCAAGGAAGAATGGGAGAAAATCTCCAAATCCAGATGTGCAAAACTGATAGACATACCCAAGTCGACTTAAAGGGAAATTCCCTACTAATTGCCTAATTATTTTCCTCTACCTTTTTCATTCAGAAATGACGCTTTAAAGCTGTAATCCCCGCCAAAGGTGCTTCTACAAAGTATTGACTCAGGGGTGTGAATACTTACAGTACCAGTCAAAAGTTTGGACACGCCTACTCATTCAAGGGTTTTTCTTTCTTTTTACTATTTTCTACATTGTAGAATAATAGTGAAGACATCAAAACTATGAAATAACCCATATGGAATCATGTAGTAACCAAAAAAGTGTTAAACAAATCAAAATATATTTTATATTTGAGATTCTTCAAAGTAGCCACCCTTTGCCTTGATGACAGCTTTGCTCACTTGGCATTCTCTCAACCAGCTTCACCTGGAATGATTTTCCAACAGTCTTGAAGGAGTTCCCACATATGCTGAGCACTTGTTGGCTGCTTTCCCTTCAATCTGCAGTCCAACTCATCCCAAACCATCTCAAAAGGACAGATTTCTACCGGTCTAATGTCCATTGTTCGTGTTTCTTGGCCCAAGCAAGTTTCTTATTATTGGTGTCCTTTAGTAGTGGTTTCTTTGGAGTAATTTGACCATGAAGGCCTGATTCACGCAGTCTCCTTTGAACAGTTGATTTTGAGATGTGTCTGTTTCTTGAACTCTGTGAAGCATTTATTTGGGCTGCAATTTCTGAGGCTGGTAACTCTAATGAACTTATCCTCTGCAGCAGAGGTGACTCTGGGTCTTCCTCCATGAGAGCCAATTTCATCATAGCGCTTGACGGTTTTTGTGACTGCACTTGAAGAATCTTTCAAAGTTATTGAAATGTTCCGTATTGACTGACCTTCATGTCTTTAAAGTAATGATGGACTGTCGTTTCTCTTTGCTTATTTGAGCTGTTCTTGCCATAATATGGACTTGGTATTTTACCAAATAGGGCTATCTTCTAATTTCACAAATTATCTTTTAACAAGGCACACCTGTTAATTGAAATGCATTCCAGGTGACTACCTCATGAAGCTGGTTGAGGGAATGCCAAGAGTGTGCAAAGCTGTCATCAAGGCAAAGGGTGGCTACTTTGAAGAATCTAAAATATATTTTTATTTGTTTAACACTTTTTTGGTTACTACATGATTCCATATGTGGTATTTCATAGTTTTGATGTCTTCACTATTATTCTACAATGTAGAAAATAGTAAAAATAAAGAAAAACCCTGGAATGAGTGTGTCTAAACTTTTGACTGGTACGGTATGTAAATTAGATATTTCTGTATTTCATTTTCAAGAAATTTGCACACATTTCTAAAAACATATTTTCACTGTCATTATGGGCTACTGTGTGTAGATGGGTGAGATTTTTTATTTATTTAATCCATTTTGGATTCAGGCTGTAACACAACAAAATGTGGAATAAGTCAAGGGATATGATTACTTTCTGAAGGCACTGTATCTGTACTGTCTGGATCCAGGAGGAGATGACCAGTGCTCTGGCCACCATGCGTGTGGACTATGACCAGGTGAAGATCAAAGATCTGGACACGTCCAATAACCCACTGCTCAACAAGCGACGCAAGAGACCTGCTGCTGGGGCAGCCGAGGGAGAGGAGGGAGGAGGGGGAGGTGGTGGGGGATTAGGAGGGGGAGGTGGTGGGGGATTAGGAGGAGGAGGCACAACTGTTTGCAACAGCCAGTGAAAGTCTGAGGGGAAAGGAGAGGGAGGAGGGGATGTTTTATTAAAACCTGTAGGCTACTGATATTATGTTTATAAAGCCCTTCTGTTGAATAAAGCCCTTCTGTTGAATAAATGTAATGTTGTCTCCCTCAGGTGGTCGGCTTCGTCATTACACCCTCTAAAATGACGTTACCGAACAGAATTCTCAAATGGGCGGTGCTTAGAAAATACCTGCTCATGGGCTGCGATAAAGAATGAGACCCAGACTTCCTTAAACCTATAATAAGTAAAGAAGTAATTTTGTGTGAAAGCCCCCCCAAAAAAAATTGTTTTACGTCAGAGGCAGAAACATGGCACAGAAAGAAGAAAAATAGCTATTTTTGCAGCCCTTCTCCCCTTGTCGATACGGAGGACGCATGCTGTTTAAATGGCCAACATTTATTTAGACGTTCACAAATGTAACACATTTTGACTATCACTAATGTCATGATATGTTTGTTATAGTAATAAAGAAGATGAAATATATTGGGTAGATGTTTCTAAAACTAATTGTAACTATGTATGGACACAGGCACGGCTCCAGGATGACATGCCTGAGGGGGCATTTTAAATCCATGGGGGGAACAACTAGTATTGCTTTAGAGCCCTAATAAAATAAGGTAGATTGGTCCTACTGCTGTTCAAATGTACAAAAATTTATCTGAAATGTAGCCGTACATTTAACATTTAAGTCATTTAGCAGACGCTCTTATCCAGAGCGACTTACAAATCAACAATCGTTGTTTTATATAATAACACAAGATATGCGCCCCACTACTACTTAAGTGTGCTACACATAATTTGCGCCTACCAACATGCACAGATCAGATGGACAGGATGAGCACTACTAGGCTATTAAAGATTCTTACAGGCTTCATAGCTTAAACTTCAATAATTAGAACTGTAGGCTCAGTGGCGACCCGTCATTCAGGGCAGGTGGGGCAGAACCTGTTTTGCATGTTATTTTGGCATTAATTCGTGACATATCCGTTTGCAAACAATGTAAAAACAAATATATTGAGTGAATAACGCTGCATACAAACATGGTCTCTTTCTTGCTTTCTTGAGTAAGGCAGCTCCAAAATGGAGGTGTTTCAGCCTAGCACAGTGCTTTCTGTGGTGGAGGGGCAGCCAGTGGAAAATACAGAGTTTAGGTGTTGGTAATCTTCTCTAGTTCCACCGTGATTGGCTAAGTGTTCTGTCACTCATGGGGACACTACGTCACCGCAGAATCTACAGGGAGAGCTAGGCAGTTCAAGCTCCATTGGATGCTGCCATAGATTAACATTAGAAGTGCCCATCCAAGAAGGCTCAAGTCATTGGCCACAGATAAAATGACGTCAAATCACGTTATACAGTATCTACCGTAGCTTTGATTGGACTGAACATGTCAACATCATACTTTCAAAATCTTAGCTAGCAAGCTAGACAAGCAGTCATCATCATGAATCACGTTGACAATTTACTGGCAAACCCTTTTCAATCCTTGTCATATGAAGAGAAATTATAGATACAACGTATCGGTGCTCATCGGCCATTGGGCATAAACATTGCACAACAAGTCAGAAATCGCAAATTTAACAATGAGTGGTTTGGAAGGAATCAGTGGCTAACTGCAAGCGTTGCAAAGCAATCACTATTTTGCTTCCCCTGCCTGCTATTCGGTGGAGAGGGTGTGAAGACTGGGTTTAAGGATTTAAAACATCTGTCTGAAAGGGTCTCTTTCCCAGCTTAAAAGGATACACATTCACACGCAACAACATGGGCCAGAAAAGGTTGAATACGTTGGCCATGCTGTCAATCCAGCATGACTTCTGTCACGTTGATTTTATTTTATTTTATTTTATTCAAAACAACTGGAAACTCTGAAATCTCAGACTTCAGTGAGTTCAATACCTCTGTTCAAGTTCAAGACCTCTGAAAAAAACGTTTTGAACGGTCATCCAACTCGGAATTCCAAGTCGGGAACTCAGGCCTCTTTCTAGAGCTCCGACCTGAAGAGCAATGATGTCATGATTCTACCTTGTTTTTTTTCCAAGTTCCCAGTTGTCTTGAAAGCACCATAAATCCAGAGAATGCAAGACTTGATGACAAAATTTGATGACAAAATTTGCCCACAAGAAGGACCACCTCACCACCTTCCTGTTCAAGTGAGGACAGCACAACAACAGTGAGTCCAAAATGCATTGTATGCTGCTGCATAAATGATGTACAGTGCATTCGGAAAATATTCAGACCCGTTGACTGTTTCCACATTTGGTTACGTTACAGCCTTATTCTAAAATGGATTAAAATTAAATTAAATTCTCATAAATCTACACACAATACCCCATAATGACAAAGCTACTTTTTTTTATTGCAAATGTATTAAAAATAAAACACAGAAATACCTTATTTACATAAGTATTCAGAACCTTTGCGATGAGACTCGAAAATTGAGGTCAGGTGCATCCTGTTTCCATTGATCATCCTTGAGATAATTCTACAACTCGAATGGAGTCCACCTGTGGTAAAATCAACTGATTGGACATGATTTGGAAAGGCACACACCTGTCTCTATAAGGTCCCACAGTTAGTGCATGTCAGAGCAAAAACCAAGCCATGAGGTCGAAGGAATTGTCTGTAGAGCTCTGAGACAGGATTGTGTCGAGGCACAGATCTGGGGAAGGGTACCAAACATTTTTCTTAAATGGAAGAAGTTTGGAACCACCAAGACTCTTCCTAGAGCTGGCCGCCCGGCCAAACTCAGCAATCGAGGGAGAAGGGCCTTGGGCAGGGAGGTGACCAAGAACCCGATGGTCACTCTGACAGAGCTTCAGAGTTCCTCTGTGGAGATGGGAGAACCTATCAGAAGGACAACCATCTCTGCAGCACTCCACCAATCAGGCTTTTATGGCAGAGTGGCCAGACGGAAGCCACTCCTCAGTAAAAGGCACCTGACAGCCTGCTTGGAGTTTGCCAAAAGACACCTAAAGACTCTCAGACCATGAGAAACAAGGTTCTCTAGTCTGATGAAACCAAGATTGAACTCTTTGGCCTGAATGCCAAGCGTCACGTCTGGAGGAAACCTGGCACCATCCCTACTGTGAAGCATGGTGGTGGCACCATCATGCTGTGGGGATGTTTTTTCAGCAGCAGGGACTGGGAGACTAGTCAGGATCGAGGGAAAGATGAACGGAGCAAAGTACAGAGAGATACTTGATGAAGACCTGTTCCAGAGCACTCAGGACCTCAGACTGGGGCAAAGGTTCACCTTCCAACAGGACAACGACCCTAAGTAAAGTTAAGGCCTCAACATCTTGCTGAATTTATCTGAACTAACATTTATCTGAATTTCTGTTGGTGTCCATTTTGAAAGTGCTGAACGAATAGGCCTACCTCATCACAGCTCCTTTGCTTGCACTTAATTATACTTAGATCTAAGTGTTAATGATATGAGAATAAACATTATGAATTTACGGAAAATAAATGTAATAATGTTTGTGTATGGTTCAAAACTCAAAACTAATTTTGCCGTTCGTTATTATTGAAGGAGAATGCGGTTCTTATCCACTTACACAAATCCACAAGGAGTCAGTAGTAACCACATTTATTTAAGCAAGTCAGCCATATCAGCTATGTTTTGCTGCCAGACAAGGCACCGCTGATAGCCAGGTGTAGCGGTGGTAAGGATTCACTCCATGGTGCTGAAAGGAAAGCTCTGCTGTTGGTACAGCTTTATGTAGGCCCTAACAGTTTGTGGGCACCGTTTGTCACCATTATAGTGTAATAAATGTTTTGTTTAGTGTTGTGTTGTGTAGTGGCTTTGCTGGCATGCATAATTTTTTTTGCCCCACCAAGATTTATATGCTAAAGTCGCCACTGTATATGCTACATTTCTGTCTAATTTGTGACACTATGCAATGAGCGTAACCTACAGTAAGCCAAGCCGCCACTTCTCCAGGCGCGCAATATGTTCTGTGGGAGAGTTTCAGAAAAGCAAACTAAATGGTCCTATACTACTGCGACACACAAAATGTAGGCCTATCTGAAATGCAGCCATATACACAACAACTGTCATTTTGCACACAAGAAAGCACGGGATGTTGAAGAGAAGCCCCATGGAGACTGGTAGCCCAAGATGCACTCATTAAAACAGCACACACCGTAACCATCGATTCAGGACCATGGACAGAAGGCTACCGCCAGTCAGCACGATGAAAGGATGCTCTGCCAATTTCAGCCCCACTAAAGTGGACAGCTAGGACAATAGGAGCACTGCACTAGGCCTCACCTCAGAGCACAACCAATAGGTTACATTGGTTATTGTCCCTATACCATAACATAATGCAAAGCTGTATATCTATCAATAGCAATTAGACCCGCAAAAGCAAGCAATGACCTTAAGAATCCCAAATCAATTTAACATGCATGGAAGTAAGAAGCAAAGGTCTAAAGTAACTATACATTAAGCCAAACAACCAGGGTTACATGAGGGAAAACCAAGGAAGAGCTGCAGCCTCCTTGATGACGTGCTGAACCTCATGAGAAGTTTCTGATTCCATTCTCCTTCCTGGCAAAATTTACTTTTCAGGTCCCTCTCAAATGCCAGCTGGACAAGCTGTGTCTGTGTTCACTGAATACGTTCTTCAGGGTGGAGAAGGAATTTTTGTAGATGCCCCAAATGTTAATCCATGTTTCAGTGCCAACAGCACAGTCGGCATTGCTGACAAAGGCCCACCGTATCTTTGAAGAACACTGAGTGGGGTCCATTTGTTGTTGCTGGCTGTGGTTGCGATTTCACTTTTCAAGAATGTGCGAGCCACAATAAACTCAGCTTCCACTGGTTCAGTTTTGGTTAGATCCAACAATGGCTTGACCTTGTTCACATCCAAAAATTCTGGGCTCTCGGGATCCATGGCACACAGAGCTTCCACCAGTTGAATATTTCCTTCGCTAAATCGTGATGACATTTCCCCCAGCACAGCATCCAAAGTGCTGAAA